ATATACTCGAAGAAACACCTAAACTATCTCTTATCTCAAGTGTTTAACAGAACTAACGAAATAGAGTAATAATTATATATAGCGATTCTACCTGTTATTTGTAGTACATATGGTTGATGGCAAATATTATTACTGTTAAACTATGAAGAGAAGTTTCACAATACATACATAGATTATCCTGGATTATCCTAGATCATATACATCAGATAAAATCGTAAGATAAAATTACTGTACATCGGCATGGTTAGGAAAATTATAAAGTAATTCGTGTTTGTTGTATAATTTTTCAGTGTAATCCTTTATATTTAATTTTCATTATATTTTGTTCGTCATATCTAAACTTACTGCTCTCTAATTATCTGGCACTTACTTTAAATATATACGTTTGCATAGTTGCAGAATTTCAACAATAGGAATTTTATTGCAACCTCATTTGGTTGGCATCATGGACCTAAAACAATCTGAAGCAAACCTAAAGGAAGGAGTCTAAAGCTTAGTTGCCCGGGATTGCGGTACAAGACAGAAGGGGGCTTCAATTGTCAGCCTTTATTCAAAGAAAATACTACAACTTTAGACATCTAACCTTGTCAAAATTAAAGTTTTTAGGCCAACCTGCATTACGCATACGTGGGCGTTTGTGGCGCCTCTTTTGGCGGAAAATTGAAGCTCCGTTCGATATCCGTACAGCGCCAATTAGAGTAGTGACAAAACGCTCAAACTGTTAGCCAAAATCGATTGTCGGTAATTTGGCTAACAGTTTAAGCGTTTCGCCATTGGCCCAATTGGCACTGAACGGAACTTAATCCTTTTCCACAAGAGGTGCCACAATCGCTCGCATCCGCCTAATGTAGATTCGCGACGGCTGTATTCACGATGGTCCTACATACAGGCTCATGCGTACTTGAAATTGATTCTCGAAAAAACTGTGGAGTCTGTGTTTGGACTATTTAGATTTCCGCCTTTGTAAGAATGCTTTGTGCCGTAAGCGTAATGACAGTGTCGCGTTACAGTTTACGGTGTTGAGCAATTGTAAATATGTCATTATCGAAGGTTACTTCTTACGCACGACAACAAAACTAAATTCGTAACGTTGGAACCAGTTTATTTAATTATATATGCGGACGATGTCGATAGCCGGTTGTCAATTTTGATAATTTCCTTGTACCATGATGGGAATATTGTATGAGAAACGGCCACTAAAACGGCCTAGACTAGGGCCGCCTGATGTATATCCTCAAGAACCCAAGCAGAAAGAAGACGAACTTACTTCTGTAAACGTCAAACATGGATTCTCTACATTGCTGCAATTGTCCGATGAATTTGGGACTGCAAGAAATTGTAATGTCACTGCCGCCAAAGTGGGAGCATATTTCAATGGGATTCTTGCAAAGAAGGAAGAACTCTCTACGATGCCGGACACAGGTAGAAAAAGACAACAGATCAATCCGAAGGATAATTTCTGGCCAGTAACTGCGAGAACAAAAAATGGCATCGAAGCATGGTTCAAGGATCTCTCTGGTTGCAAACCGCTAATAGCTCTGGCGAAAAGAGCTCCAAACTTCAATAAGAAAGAAGAGATATTTATGATGTTGTGCGAATATCAGGTACCGATGCTTCGGGCAGCCTGGTTCATTAAACTTAGTTCTGCTTATACGGTAGCTGTTTCCGAGGCCAAAATAAAAAAGAGACAATTGCCTGATCCAACGACAGGTACGCAAGTATATTATTTAATTATTAAAGCCTGTAATGTAAATTTGTAACGACAATAAGGCTATTATAATATCGATGTAACAATGTAAAATATCGATTAACCGTTTTATTTCTATTGTTTATTTCCGTAGAATGGACAGGAACTCTCATTAAGTTTTTAAAGGATCAACTTTCCAAACTACAAGAGTATTATTATATAAATATTCATGGAGCAAATAGTACTAGTAACAATGGTATTACAAACAATTCTTGTAATGGTAATAATTCTGGAAATACCAATAATAATAATAATAATAATAATAATAATAATAGTAATAATAATAATAACAACAACAACAACAACAACAACAGTGTTAACAATACTACTAGTAATAACAATGGGGTTGCTAATAATCCACCAACTACACCAAATTCTAATAATCAAACAGCAACTGGGAATTCCATGAACGAGGAGCATAAGTTAGCATTGAAACAATGGCATTATTGCGTGCAATTAGCAAAATATATGTTCGAGGAAGGTTTACTAGATAGACAGGAATTACTGCAGTGGATTTTAGAATTATTAGATAAAATTAAATCATCTCCTTCCGAGGATGGCATTTTAAAACTCTTGTTGCCATTGGCATTGCAATACTTGGAAGAATTTGTGCAGTCCGAATTACTAGCCAGACGTTTGGCGTATCTGTGTTGTCGTAAATTGGCGCACATGTGTAGCAACGTGGAGATCAACGGGAATCCTCAAAGTCCGTCCGTAAACAAAAACGATGTTAATAGTGGAAAAGACACTGCCACTGCTAATCAAACGCCAAATCCATTAACCGCTGCTTTTAACGATTACTTGTTGTGTCCGCACCACAGGGATGTAATATACAGTTTATCAACAATTATACAGGTAATATATTAACGAGAGGAAACAAATTCGTGATACAAGAAACATTCAAGTGACATAATTTCGGTATAATTGCTCATTCATTAGGTAATCACATTAGAATGTCCAACAGCATTGGTATGGAACAGTGTTGGGGAAGGAAAAGCTCCTTCCGTATTAAATGGTTCTCCTTTGGACTATTTATCTTGTCCTCCAACAGCTTTGCCATGTCCACCCGCGAGTGCGACTAATCCAACTTTGAAACAACTAAAGATTGCCCAAGAAAATATTCGAGCAAGATCTCAGGCTGCGGAAGGTAAATGGTCGTGCGATAAATGGCAGCAAAGCAGCGCGGGGATAACGACTACTAAAGTGCTAGCTGCTTTGGATGCTCTGGATAGGCACAGTTTCGATAGAATGGATTCCACCAACTCGTTAGACACGCTTTACGCTAAGATATTTATGTCACCACCAAAGGATAACACCAATGAACGCGACTCAAAAACAGAGTATAATCCGCAACAAGATTCTGCCGTAGTTGAAATTTTGTGCGAATGGGCTGTTAGCGCCGAACGATGGGGAGAACATAGAGCAATGGCAGTGGCAAAGTTGCTCGAAAAACGACAGAGCGAAGTAACTGGTGAAACGAATGATAACGATGATAAAGACAGTGTTTGTAGTAACGGAAATCCGCCCGTGCTTCCAATCTTTCAACCGTTGCTTATGAAGTTTTTGGACATGGACGCCCCGGTATTAGATAATACATCAGCTCAATCAAAAGTACAGTTCACGAATTTGGTTCACTTATTTTCAGAATTAATTAGGCACGATGTATTTTCACACGATGCATATATGTGCACTCTCATTTCTAGAGGGGATCTTATACAAGGTACATAAGAAATTTCTCGCTACCGGGTACAGACTTATTTGTCGGCTTAATAAATGCTTTTAATATTAGGTCCAGCGGCAAGCAAGCCTGGAACTCCCAGTAATCGAGAACCAATCGATGAAGATAGCTTGTTTCCGGGGATAGACTTGAAACCGGCGAAGTTAGAAGTACCGGATCATGGGAGAACAATGGATTACGACGACAGTAAGATAGACGATGACCTGGATAAAATATTGCAGCACATCAAAGAGGACCAACAAAATAGTATGGACGCCCCTGATAGTCCTAAAGAAGATGCATTAGCTGGACATAGTACGCAGGAAGGACTGGACTCCAAGATACCATCCAGCCATAGTAGACATTTGTTGTATACAACACATTTTCCATTGCCGCAGGTAGTAATTTTCTTTTTCTTTTTTTCCCCCTTTAGAAATCGTATATAACTTCGATGATAATGGTAAAGATGTGTTTGAAGGATGAGACGTGCAGCCAACACGATTGCAATCAACGACACGTGCTACTTTACGGAGTAGGCCGTGTTAGAGACGACGCTAGGCACGTTGTCAAAAAGATGACGAAAGAAGTGTGCAAATTGTTTGGAAAAAAGTTCAGCATCGACGTCGCGGAGGGTGGGAAAGTGAAGAAACATTCCCGCAGCGAATTCAATTTCGAAGCGATCACATTGAAATTTCAGAACTTGAGTTACTTCGATCAACATGTAGTGACCTGGCAGTGCGCGACCCAAGTGATCGAAATGCTGAACTCGTTTGCACTAGCTGGATCATCTTATTTGCCGGTGCAAGAACACGTAGCCTTTCTCTTCGATCTAATGGAACTAGCTCTGAATATATACGGTTTGATAGACGTTTGTATTCAAATTTTGAAAGAGCTTCCAGAAGTCGAGACACAATTGACCGCTAAAAACAGTCAACTCGTTAGAAGTTACACTACGAGTTTGAGCCTCTATGTTGTAGGCGTATTAAGGAGATACCATTGTTGTTTATTACGTAAGTATAGCGTTGAAATTATCATTGGATTCGACCCGACCAAGCGGCCAAGTTGTAATTGTTCGATCGTTTCAGTATCTCCGGAACAAACAACCGCTGTATTCGATTTACTTTGTAAAATTGTCAAACACGTGTCGAATCCCAGCGATTGTAGCTCTGCCGAAAGATGCGTACTGGCACATCTCTACGATTTGTATTCGTCTTGTTCATTGTTGAAAACAAAGCCTCACGGAGTGGAAGCATTCAGTAATGCCTACCCGAAGATTCGAACTGCTCTTTACAGCACGCTACAACCGACCACATCGAGTCACGTGTACAATTCTCAATTCATGGTAGATGTTTTTACCAGTCCGAAACGTGGCGGAAAGATCGAACCACAGTGGGCCAGGCAACTGAACGAGACGCCGGCCAATCGTTACAGTTTCGTTTGCAACGCGATCGTTGCAGTTTGCAGCGAAACAGACAACGACAAACTGAACGATATCGCAATAACTTGTGCCGAATTGACCGCTTGCTGCAACGCGCTGAACGCCGAGTGGCTCGGAGTTCTCATGGCGCTATGTTGCTCGTCGAACAGTTCTGCTTTCTATATCGACGTTCTAAACCAAGTCGACGTACAAGATCTAAGCATACACAATTCACTCGCTGTATTCACATCAATTTTAATCGGTATTATAGAGTTTATAATCTGTCTTCGTGGTCGAGATATGATTTCTGGTTTAACCTTCAACTTTTATCTTTGTAGCAAGACACTGCTTTTCGTTGGAGGATTTTGTCGTTCATATAGCACTGCCATCCTTGGTTAAAGCCTGCAACGAGGGCCGCGGAGATGCGGATATGGAAGCCGAAGCCGGAGCACGTCTAACATGTCACTTGCTGCTGCGACTGTTTAAAACGGTCGAGTGCCCTCAGCCGGCTCTGTATTCCGTGAGCACGAGTCCCCATCCTTTACCGAATGGAAACTCTAGGGGTTACAGTATCAAATTAAGTTGCGACCGACACTTGTTAGCCGCTGCTCATAATAACATCAGGGTTGGTCCGGTCTTGGCAGTGCTTAAAGCTATACTCGTAGTCGCGGACGCAACTGCTGGCAAACAACCACCAAAGAAGCCGGACGTGCCGATGAATCATTCGAGCAAAGCCGGTGGACCAGCTAGCGTCGGGGTTGGCGTTGGTGTCAGCACGGGTGGACCGAACGAACTATCCATTAGTCATATCCTCGGTACCAGCGACATTCTAGGCGGTGGCGATGACTTGGGGCTTGACTTGGCCATGTCGTCGTCTAGCAGCAGTGCTGGCATAACTACGGAAAACGTTAAAGGATTGTCAGATTTCGCACAGCACGTGCTAAGACAAATTTGCAGCCAGGAATGGGTTTTAGAGAGATGTTTGCAGAATCCCGAGGAACTTTGTCATCCAGATATGTTATTAGACAATATGTTGACACCTCGTCAAGCTCAAAGTTTACTCCACATGATCTGTTATCCGGAAACTTCTACCGACGCGTTTATCGACCAAAAAACTCACATCACGAACATTTTGGAGAATTTGGAACAATGGAGTCTGCGAATGTCCTGGCTCGATCTGCAGCTTATGTACAAACAATTTCCTCCTGGATCCAGCGATCTTTCGCAATGGTTGGACATGGTTGCTAAAGCTGCGATCGACGTGTTTCAATTAAACACCGTGTCGAATAAACCGGACAAACGGTCTGGATCCATATGGCTGGTCGCTCCGTTGGTTTCGAAACTGCCAAGTGCTGTGCAAGGCAGAGTTCTTAAAGTTGCCGGTCAAGTATTGGAATCCGGCAATTGGTCGAAAACGGCGGCCGGTCGTGAAAGAGGTAGATCCAAATCGCCGTCACTTTTCAATCACCAGCCATTCCTTTCGTTGGTTCTCACTTGTTTGAAAGGACAAGACGATCAAAGAGAAGGTTTGCTGATGTCCTTGCACTCGCAGCTATCGCAATTTCTGAACATCAGTAAAGAAGAAAAGAGTTTCGCCACCGAAGATCCGAAGTCGAGAGAGGTGTTGCAGGATGCGCTTCAGTTAAGGTTCAGTCTCGTTGGTGGCGTTTTCGATACCATACAAAGGAACACCACCGTTACCACAGACTGGGCTATTCTTTTAGTCCAGTTAGTTAGCTACGGCGTTATAGACTTGAGCAACAATTCCGAATTATTTACAACGGTCATAGACATGTTGGCAACTCTGATACATTCGACGCTCGTTTCCGACTCTCAATCCGAAAAAGATGAAAACAAGAAACATTATCAGAATCTAATGAAGAAGCTGAAGAAGGAACTAGGCGATAGAAATTCTCAAAGCATTCGATACGTCAGGCAATTGTTGCCGTTGCCAAAACTGACGATGGAAGTGATTACCTGTGAACCGGTTGGTTGTTTAACAGACACGAAAGGCAACAAGATAGCTGGCTTCGATAGTATAGATAAAAAGCAGGTACGTTCAAATACGTTCGAAACAATTGGCATATTTCTGATTGAATTTTATTTCGATTTACCGTGTCCCCGCCTAGGGTTTGCAAGTCTGCGATTCGCAGAGAGTGTCCGCGTGGGAGGTATTGGAAGGTCACAAAAATCCGGCACCGATATCTTGGGCTTGGTTCAGAGCAGTGAAATTGGAGCGTAAACCCTTAACGTACCAGAATGCCCATAAACTTTTGCGATATCATACTCATAGCCAGATCAGAACACCTAGCCACTACTTGGATCCACCACCGTTACCTCCGGAAGATCTGGAACCGGACAAAAAGGAGTCCGAGCCTGGAAAAGCTGACACACCCATGAGCATCGATTCTCCTGGGAGAGTAACAGGCAGCGTTGGTAGCAGCGGTATCGGTAGCGCTGTCACCAATGGTAAAGGAAAAGCTATGAAGACCAGAAGGCACAGAAAGAATAAGGGGCCAGCCACGCCCACTGCACCAGTGTCGCAGCAAATTCAGGTTTATTTATATTTCAATGTTTGAATTTTCATCGATTAATGTCAATTGTAACGAGATCGTAAAGTCTAAAGCGATAGAGAAAGAAAGTACCCATATAATAACTTTTTACGTTACGTTGTATATAGCAAGCACCGAACCAATTACAACAAATGGCCTTTGGAAATCAACAAGTACCTGTCACCCAACAACCTGGAATGTTTACCGGTCAACCGCCGCAGCATCAGCAGCAGTGGTACGCGAATCAGCAAACTCATGCACCGGCCCAACAATACGGATACGGCCAACAGCTACCGCCAACCCCGGTCGGACAAAGATACGACAGGCCGGGCATGAACAATCAATCGAAACAGGCGCTTTCTCATATGCTGCGTCTACGATTGCCGCCTTCCAATCAATTGATGAGCTCCCAACAGCAACCAAACGCTACGCCTGTCGGTGGACCAGGAGCTTTCCAAGGGATGCAAAGACAGCAGTTCATTAGGCAACAACTGAGGGCACAACATGGAGCTCCTAATATGAATCCGCAACAAGGAATGTTCGCTTCGCAGCAGCAACAACAACAACAACAACAACAGCCGCAACAACAAGGAATTTACTCTGGAATGCAACAAGGTAATCGCAACGTGAAACCGTCGATAACACAAAAAGATGTTACATTCTTGATAGAAATTCTACTGAATTTTCTTCTACCATAATTTCTTCGACTTACTACTACTCCTCTTGAATATAATCGATGGTTCGATATCACCGGTGTTTAACATATTTTTCGTACAGGAATGAATCAAAACTATGCAGGATACGGAGGTCAGCAAATGATACCGCAACAACAACCGCAGCAGCAGCAACAACAACAACAACAACAACAACAAGCACCGCAACAGACGCAACAACAACAACAGCAACAACTACTGCAACAGCAGCAACAGGGTTTGATGAATCAACAACAGAACATGATGTTTTCTAATCAACAGCAAATGATGGGACCGCAACGTGGACAAGAATATATGCCGCAACAACGTATGCAACCTGGAGCTGCTAGACCGCCTTATCTTCAGGTATGTTTCGAACAGCATAAAAAGTAACAACAGCGACGCAACGATCGAACATGTTTTCGTTTGGCTCAGGCTCCAAATGTTACGATGAATACGATGGGTCCGATGGGAGGCGGAGTCCAAAATCAACCGGCTCCACCGTATAGACAAACTAGTGGAAAACCCGGCGCGGTTGGAGTGACCGGGGTAGGCACCGCGAACGTTGGGTTACAACAAAATCAACAATTTCAACAAGTAAGATATCGCAACGTTTCTATTGTCAAGTGCAATGTAAATAAAGGAATATTTACGCTCGCGCGTCCGTAATTAAAGCCTAAAATCTGAGAAGTTACACAAGTAATTGCGATCGTTCGAATTGCAGCAGCAGCAGGCAATTAATCAGCAACGTATGAGACAACAAATGCTCGCGATGCAGCAACAACAACAGCAAGCGCAACAGCAGCAACAAGCGCAACAACAACAACAAGGCAATACCGGTGGGCAACAGCCGACGCCCCAATTAGTAACGCATTTGCAACGACATTTAAGCCAACCACCGCAACATTATCAGCATCAACCGCCGCCTTATTAGTGATTTAATATGTACATAAAATAATTGATACATTGTACAAGAACGATTTATACGAAGTGTGTACATCCGAATTACAATAGTTAAGTAACTTAATTTGCAGTATGAATGTGTAAAGCGTGCCATGCCAAAGGCAATAAAGTGGAAACAATTTCAGACGTTGGAATCCGATTTCCTATGCATTTGACTTTCCAAATAAATTATAATGTAACCAGCATGAAATATAATCCATGTCGATTTGTTGAAACAATTGTATAATTCCTGTACCTGAGAACAAAATAAACTGACAGCAAAGTCTCTTTTACAAGATTAAATGACAGAAACTGAAATGTTCTACTCGAATGTTTCAATCCGAAGCTCTTCGTCGAACGAAAACTATAGCATTTCTTCGTAATTAGAGCATTTAATAAGTATCACGAACAATTATTAATCATCGAATCGGTCGGATCCACGTATATCGGTTCTTTTTATTCGTCGAGATCTTCTATAAAGATATATTTTTCGTTTCTTCGACAACCGACGAATAAAGCTACGATAAAGACACGGCTTTTACAGTGTGAAACTGAAGCAAATTTCTTTTGTAGCGCGAAGCTGCGTAAGAAAATGCTGAATAACGTTTCATCGTTTTCATTTTTAGCGATTCTTCTCGTCTCGTGAAAATGGCATCGACGTCAAGCTGTTCATCGTCCACCAGGGAAACGACGGATTCGCAGGAGGAGAACGACTCGAAGAAAACTGCGAAACAACTCGAGCTGTGTCCTTTCGTAAGAGGTTCATTAGTATTTAACGCGCTTTCGATCGGGTTAGATCAGATATAACGCGTTACATATAGATATAACGTAGCGGTAATACAATTTCTTTAAAGAAACTATATAGATAGAACTTGGAACTTAACCGTTGGAATAACCGTTTGTGTCTCGAATACGATTAGAAATTATTATGGTCGTTTGGAATGAACCCAGAAGTACCTCTGATCAATTTGACTACGAAAAATCGAACGATTATCGCGTATGCCTGCTCGCACGCTGTAATGCTTTACAACTACGAAACGAGAAGGGCCATCCCGCTTCAAGGCCATGTACGTAACATCTTCGTATTTGTGCGACTCGAACCGTCGAATAACTAAATTGATCGAACTGGACAGGAACACGCGGTGAAAACGCTTTCGACCTCGAACGACGGGAAATGGTTGTTATCCGCGGATTTTGAAAACGATCACGCGATCGTCGTTTGGGACACCGAAACTGGGTAAAGAGATGAACCCGATAAAGGCAACATTCTATTTAGCGAATACATATATTTCGGCGTAATTGCATTACAACGAATCTATCGCGCAGGATATTAACTTTAATCCGAGATGAATTTCTTCCAGCGTACCAATTTGCACGCTCTTCGATTCGCACGAAAACCATTCCCTTACCGCTGCGAAAATCAGTCCAAATGCGAAATACATAGTGACCGTCGGCAACGAAAGATACCAAAAGTTGCAATTTTGGTTGTGGACTTATGGAAGAGACGAACCAGACGGTTATTCGAACAAATCGCATACGTATTTCTATCGACAGGCTGCTTCGTTGCGCGTCGCATAGTTCTGACGAGAAAATATTTTTACAGCATCCGTAGAACTGGCCGAATGCTCGACGGATAGAACGAAGGAAATCAGTTTCAACGAAGAATTATCCGAGGAATTTCTTTTGACCGGCGACTCCACCGTTGTATTCGTTACTTGGGTTCGTACGAATGTCCCCGAGCACAGAAACTACCGATCATACATATTCGTCGACAGAAATACCGTTCAACGAATAATATTATTTGAAAATTCTACGGAACAATAATTGTTTGAATCCGCGCGTCTTTGGTTACAAACGAATAAAACTCGGCGGTCTAACATTTTATACGTATAATTCGTTCGTCAGGAAGATTCCGAGTTGAAATATCATCGTCCAGAAATCGTAGGCGATCTACGAAGGTGCGGAATCTTGAATTGTTCTTGCATCGCGCCGAACGTGCAACGGGCCTATACTGCGACATCGAACGGTATTCTTAATCCACGAACGCTAACTACGTATACATAGATCGTATTTGCTGTATTTCTAGTCGGAAACGCTAGAACAGAGTGCGCGGTACTCTATTTAATTTCGTTTGAATAAAAAAGAATATCGTTTTCATGTAACTTCTATATACAGGGTACGTTTTGTTCTGGGCTGGAAATGAACGCATCGGAGATAAGGAAAAAATGACGCACGTGAAAACTGTGCGATTACAAAAGTGCTCCATTAACGTGATTCTACATTACAACGAGTAATCGATCGCATCATTATCATCTGTCTCGTTGATATTTCAAATAATGTTAACGCGCGTATCTATGGTTTCAGATCGATAGTCGTAGCAACCATGGAGGGCGGAGTTATCTTTTACGACCTTCAATTAAAACTCGTCTATTGGGTTCGCAACTTTGGTGTCGACTCTATACGATCGGTTAGCTTTAACTTTACATCCAATTTATTGGGTCCTCGGGCTACCGTTAGAACCCCCGACGGTAAGTTTGCTATCGGTTATTGATTATTAAATGATCGAATATCGAGATCGATAACGATCGAATAATAACCTTAGGGAAAATATATTTTTCTACAAAAATTAACGTTTCGTATGCAAAAGGATAACCGCCGTACGATCAACGACAGAAATAACATTGCAGACGATACGATCTACTGGAGTCTATCAAATTATATTAACTGTTACAGACGTCTCGGACGACACGGGTGAAGAAGAAGAGGAAGAGGAAGAGGAAGAGGAAGAAAAAGAAGAAGAAGATCATCGTGTAGATACGACAATCTGTAAAGAGAAACTCGAATATTTAAAAATGACAGAAGTTGGGATGGTATCGTACGACGATGATTCATCGTCCACGATAACTGTAAACTTGGAACACATGCAGAGAGATTACGAGGGGAAGCAAGGACCATTTGTTCAACCTCGTCGCGTTGCACTGGATGCCACTTTTGAAAGCGCGCCTTTCCATACCGACCCATTTTTCATCGGTAAGAACGTTAAAATTATTCCTTTCTGTGTAATTCAGTCGTTTACTTAGGATATTTCACGAAGGTTCTGCTACCGGCGCGATCGCGTTGATCGATATTCCGACGTCCAAGTGCCATTTTTTCTTGCACGACGTAGGCTTGTCCGTTACCAGCTTGGACGCGCATCCTCGAAGGTAAGCAGAGATTTTCAATTTTCTGCAAAACAAAAATGACAAATTCCGTCTTAACGATAAACTTCCGAAATAATATGGAAGAAATCTTTCGCCTCGATTCATGGTTTTTCCATGTAAAGATATCATAGAGATTACCGGATCCCGGATATCGATGTAAATATTTATGCATATTTATGCATAATGTTCGCGGTGAAATCTGCGCTAAAGTCTCCTCGCGAAGGTTCGCAGAAAAATCTTTCGAGGTAACCGTAATAAATGCTTTCGTCGATGAATTCTATGAATTTTCCCGTTTCAAGCCATTACGTAGCCACAGGAAATGCACAGGGTATATTGTGCTTGTACGAATACGAGAAACGCAAGTTGATCGTACGCAGAACCGTCCCTCCGCTGCCAGATTTTCAGTACATCGTCGAGAGGCAAGTGAAAACTAGCAACATCACGTACGTTACATGCCCGCAAACCAGGGATAAGTCGATCGCTGTTTCCGTGCTCAAGTATTCGCCGTTAGGTAACCGTCGTCGATTTATTCGTCCGTCGAATAAATCCGATACGTATTTAGAATTTGGCAAATCTTCGAGCTAGAACTACCGACCTCCGAACAAGACCGACTTAAACGTGTATTATTTGAAAACGGTGACAGGATCGGTATATATTTTTCAAAAAAGAACTTTACGACGGTGAGAAGATTCGATTCTATTTGAACCTCGCACAATTCCGATCACGCTATTTCCTTGAGAAAATAAGTTTATCCATAAAAGCTCCTATTACCGGTTCCTATTATCGATCGGTTCGGTAGTTCCAGCGTTTAAATATTTCGATCTATATAAAAATCGATCGCCGCGATCGATTGTCGCAAAATATGTATAATATCGTGACACGCGCAGGGGACCAGCTCGTTTGCGGTCTCGACAATGGAACGCTATGGATTCTACACCCGATCACGTTGGAACCGATTCACGACGTGCCGTACAAGCATTCCTGGGAATCTATAATTAAGCTAGCTTTCACGGAGTGCGCGGAATATATGGCGTATTCTGTAAATATCGATGAAATTTATCGACGAAACGAAAGCGATTCGTCGCTAATTAAACACAATCGCGAGAGCGATTGCGTATGTAACGCGGTACTTGCATTTTCAGGACAACGAATTGGTAGTGGCAATATTTAAGAGAAATTTGGATATACTCTTAGGAGATCATCCATGGGCTTTCCTTGGAAAGTATCGTGCTCACCGGGCAACCATAACGGACATACGGTTTGGACCAGCTACCTCCAATACCGTTACACCTCGATTTTTCTCCTTGGGCGAAGATAGGAGATTGGTCGAATACGACCTGAAAAATAGGTAATACGCGGTGCAGGTTGTTTCGTGCAAATATCTATAAAGCAGATCCAAACGAAAAAAGAGTATATACGTACACCGCGGAATAAAAGATTTTTACCTTCTCTCGAAGACGGCGATACGACGACCAACGATATTTAACTTTATCCGTTACGGTAGCATTCTTTCTTTCTTTCTTTCTTTCTTTCTTTCTTTCTTTCTTCTCGATTATCGCTTGTCTTTCTTAAATTAATTCAACGCACAATTTCTTAACACGATTTCGAATAATTGGTAATACGTAAATGAATTTTTTAACGACTAACTTTACCAACTCGTACATTCGTTCAAGCGGTCCTTATCCCGAGCCTGGTCTCCAGATACTGGAAGTTTATGAAATCGAATCATCGGCGATTCCGCTTTCCCTCTCCTGGTACCCTAATTTTGGCGTCGAACAATTTTTAATGATTTCCAATTCGGAGGTAATCGATTAAAAATACTATGTACACTCGACGAGAGAGATACGGTGTTAGAAAATATCTTGCGATTTTTATCATTGGACGGGGACATTCTGTAAAAAAAATGGGTTTTAAACTTTGCTTTTGAATCTCAAATTCCGCGCGTATATTTTTCAGACTCGCGTTTTAATACGCGTTCATCGCGATGCGTGAAAATTAATGGAAACAATTTCTCCTTACTTTTCTTTTTTTATTAATTACAATTCTTAACAACGGTTCGCTTACTCTACTATTTGGTTTGTTGTCAGTTTTACGAGCGCGCGCGCGCGCGCGGTACACGTACGTACTTGAAAAAACATTATAAATCTTTATCGGCTAATATCGTTATGCTACAACTATCTACTCTATTTGTACAAGTACAAATATCGACTGCTGAACGACGTAACGAAAATGATACGAGGAACGTTTTTGGGCCCGATTTTCGGTGCACCGGTTCAATACTGCGAGGTACGCTTAAATAGTCGGAGAGACTGTGGAAGAACAAATCCAAGAAAAACTAACCGTTTTCACGAATCGTCCAGGTATTAACTAGCAAAGAATATAAAAAGAACAGATACGTAATATTTGCGACCGAGAAGGAATTCGGTCTTCAAATACTTCCTCTCGACGGTAATCCTTACAAAACTTTAGGAATGGTGGGACATCCGCGCAAGGTAATTAAAAACATCCACGCCCCTCGAACTTACATTGATAATTTCCGAAATGCGAATTCCGACAGATCGCTAACATCGGTGTTAATTGCGACGGGAACATTTTATTTACTTCCGGTTACAACGATCCCTGCGTCTTGATGTGGCAAATTCAATCCAGGTACGATATACAAGCTCGCTTTTACCAAAACCTACGAATTCGCTACGAATTTCACGATCGGCTGTTCGTTCGGGTTGCGCGACTGGCGCGATTTCTTACGAAAAAGTTACACACCTCTGTGACACCCGATTGCAATATCGATGATTAGAAAAGGACAAGGGACAGCATCGCGACGATACAAAAGCTACTCTCTCGCCGATTAAACGAATTTCGGAAAAGCTAAGCGTGAAACGACAAAAATTCCGAAGATACTTATTCGTACGACGAATGATACGCGTATCTTTTGCCCGACAACGAACCCGCGTGAAATTTTTTATATCTTTATCGATACTTTCTTCTTCCGTCTCTCGTACCATTAATCACCACCGGTTTCATCGTTTTCCTAATTGACCTCAGATCGGTCGACGTATTGGAAACGTTAGGGGGTCAGGGACTTTCGCCGTATTATTGTCTCCTCGAGGGAGGAAGGAAAGGCTGGCTGATCGACGAAATCAAAGCTTTCTTCTACTATGCGCAAATTCTGCATCAAGGTGAAAATACACCGGCTACCAGAATAGTTACCGAGAAAATGAACACCAAGCAGATACCGAATCTGATGCGGGCCATTGGATTTTATCCCACCAACCAAGATGTAATCGTTTTATCGATTGGAAAACAATTTCTTTTCTTTTTCTTCTCCTTTCTTCTCCTTTCTTCTCCTTTTTTTTCCTTTTTCCCCCTTTGTTTCGTATTTATCGTACGCGCCGACGAACGAACCGAACCGCGCTGTACTTTCGATCGGACCACGCGTGTACGGTCGACGGGCAATTTCGGAAAAATAGCCGAATCTTTTCTATTCGCTGTTCCAGATAGAGATTCTAATGAACGAGATCTCCTACAGAACCTACGCGGAAAATGGCGAAATAACCGAGGAAATAACGTTCGACGAATTCGTCAAGTATTACATAAACCATCGTCCCGCCTTCGGAATTTCTTTGCGCCAGTTGCAAGATGCTTTCCAAACGTTCGCCGATCCTGGTAGACGTCCATCTTCGGGGACGGAGAACCCGGTTCTGACGCGCGATCAATTTCTGAACGTTTTGCTGGGAAAAGGTCCCGTGGACCAGCCACCGTACAGGAGCAAGGGTTTCGGTACGTTCTTTCGCTTCGAAGAACGCGCAATTTTCCTCAGCGATTTCTCGAAAACAAAGACTTCGGTCGCACGCTATTCTTCAGGGGAACCGTTTACGCCGCAAGAAGCTTACGCGTATCCGAAGCTTCTTCTCGGTTGCGGCGACAACGACGACGATCGAGACAAAGAGAAACGAAATCTACGACGGAAGCGACATTTTTTGCCAGAGGTACAAGGTCTTTCTCGATCGATTCGATATTTTATAGAAATTCGTTTTCGTACTTTCAAAACGTACGCGCGCGATTCGTTGATAATCGAGGGAAAAAAATGGCGGATCGTTCTCAAAAAAAGACACGCTTGTTCGGAGATTTTACCGATCTCCGTGCACGTGTATATTCGTTCGAATTTGCAAACTATAGACGTTTTCCCTCGAAAACGTTCGAATCGAAATATACCCCGCGACGATCGCGCGCGCGCGCGCGAATTTCGACTCGATAACGTTTGAAAATGAAAAATTTGTCCAACGATCGACGATCGACGATCGACTCTACAAAATCGAATAGAAGCACGAAATTCTAAAGTTTGTGCTCTCGAAGACGCGACGGTATCGCGCGCGCGAGTGTGCGCATTTCATTCGCAATCTCTCGAAGTCGTAAATTAAAAAATATACGTACACGGCTATCTCCGTTTCGATTTCTATGTTGAAAATCGTACGTTCGCGCGAACCGACGCGTGGGGAAGGGGGTCTCTCTCTACCGATAACGAAGCTCGAGAAATTTAGCGAGCGCGTGCGACAAAGAAGAAAGGAAGACACTTAGGCTCGCCGAAATTAATGTATTATTATTTTATGATACAGAGGATATCTTACAAAGAGTTTATCACGGACATCATGGGTATCGAGTTGTCGGAGGAAACGAGGGCTGACGATGAATAATTAATCTGCGTCGTTATTCGCATTGCTGGCATGTTAACGTCAATTACAATTACCACTATTATTACCAATATTATTATCATAACCATGTACTGCGAATTCTATTAAACATGTACGAACACTAACGTATTTAGCCATCCCTTCCGCCTCTCGTGCGTCGAAAATGAAAAGAATTCGATTGTTTCGGCGACGAACGCGATCGCGATCGCGATCGCGCGAAACGAACGTTACAATCCGATTCGGCCGAGCTGTGCGAGCGCGCGAACCCTAACTTTTCTTCCGGAAGCGAAGACGCGGTATTCGTGCGATCGATTTTCTTTGTTTTCCAATTATCTATTTATTCGGACCGATACTCCCTCTATGTTTTCGTCGCCGTTCTCGGCCAATCGCAAACTACAAAATCCTCGAGAATAAATTAAAAGTCGGAACGAATTACGAAAGTCGAATACAATTGGAAAATCGAACGAAAAAAGAAAAGATGAGCTTCGTGTCGTTTACCACCGCGACGTACGTGTCGAAATTTCGGTCGCCAAACATTATGCTAAACGGTGTGTAGTCGCCGAAATGTGAACGAACACCGCTCGGATTCCGAATCCAGGAGAGAATTATAGCGCGCTCGGTATATAGGCCTGGGAAAAGAACGTTATCAACGAATTCGGAGCTGTTTCTTGACAAGAACGAGTGTGTAGTGTAGCTAGACTAGAAAAATGATAAAAGATCCGTTCGTCGGTTACTCTAAACTCTAAAACAATTGCTGCTGATAACGATGACGACGATGACGACGATTACGACGACGACGACGACGACGACGACGACGACGACGACGATGAAGAAAAAGAAGAAGATGAAGTAGTGGTAGAAGAAGAAGAAGCAGCACGATAATAAATCGATAAGAAGTCGGTTCGGTGAAGTCGGAGGAAGATATCGCTTTTCACGGTGTAATACTAAAACGAAAATTGAAAACGGGGGAAAGGAGTTGCAAAGAGATAACGTGCGCGATTGTAAAAATGTCGCCGAATCGAGCGATAAAGGGAGCAAGACCGTACGAAGAAAAAATCGTTTAAAGCTCGGTAAGCGTGTATCGTCTTTGCGTGTACTTTGGGAGAATTAAAAAGTACCGATTCTCGAAGGAATGCGATCGTCCGACGGGGACACAGACACCGCCAGCAGTGCCGCCGACAGTCGTATCGGCCGCGCGCGATATCTTGAAATTCGAATCGATTCAAACAGCCCTCCCCTCTCGCGAGCTTAGAAACTCCGAAAAGTTCTTCGTTCTACGACATAGCCTAGATTTCCTTCTAGAACGCTACACCGCCTAATCGGCTAGACCGATCAATTTATACACGGCGCTTTTTTTCGTCGTTTAAAAGAAGTACAAACAAATGTACACAAAAAACCTTACTTCGCTGCTTCTTTTTAAACACTAAGGCGTATTTACAGTTATGTACAAACATTTCTCGTATTACCTCTTCTCTCTTTTTTTTTTTACCGTTATAGTCAGCTTAAGAAAAATATCAACGTGGAACAATGTACGATTCGTTTGTTTACCAAGAAGAAGAAAAGGAAAATGTTCAGAATGAATGGCGACCGCTCAATTTCCCCTCTCGATTCGATTCGATTCGATTCGATTCGATTCGATTCGATTCGATTCGACCTGCCTGGCAGTTTGTGCTCGATGCTACAATTTCAATAGAGTGTTGTTCGTTGCGCGAGAAACGCCTGAGAAAAGTGTCAAAGTGTCGTTAAACGTCGTTCAGAAAAGTTGAAACGTTAGAATAGTTTCGAATAATCTAGAATAGTATCGAAACAATGAGAATTTCTGAAATCTCCGAAGAAATATTTGGATTTATTCTAAAACTTCAAGCGTGTTTCGAACGTTCCAAGATATTGAACAATTTCAAAACAGATAATATATACGTAGCCGTTGCGAAATCTGAAATTTTCCAAAGTTCGACGCTATATCCGATTACAGCTAACGTTAAGAAGATTCGCACGTTTCAAGGAGGAATTTTTCAATTGATATTATATTAACGATATATTATAGAGCATTTCGAAATCAATTACATTCTGCCCAACCCGATGCAACGTTACGATCACGTTCGCGCAACTTGCCAAAATTTCTACGCGTATTCTTCTTCGAGTCGTCGCCCAATCGTTCGTACACACGTTGCATACGGTGCACAGCACGTGGAACGTGCGTCGAATCGCGGTACGTGTCAAGGCTTTAAAAAACATTGCACTCAGGACTGTTTCAACTTGGAAGAACACTCTAAGCAACGAAAGTTCATTTTCCGAAATCGCCGGGAGACGAGAGCGCGATCTCCGCGAGAAGAGACGGAGGAGGGACGGTTGAGCGGTCGCGATCATCGAGTATGCCTAAAAAGCAATTTCAACACGCAGACACCACCCGCTGCTATCAGTCGAAGTAGTCCTCGTTTTGCACGATACCGTGTTTCTTTCTACAGTCCGGACAATACCACTTGCCCTTGGGCGGTACCATGATGCCGACGCACTCGAAGTGAAACCACTCGATGCGACAGTCCTCGCCGTCGCAGGCGATCATCTCCGAGACCTCGTCGTACGGGCACTGACAGTAACAGTAGAGATTGACCGGCCGTTCCGGGATCGGCGGGTTGCTCTCCGGCAGATGCGTTTGCAGCTGCTGGCTAGCCTCGATCTCCGTGTCGCTGGAGTCGCTGCTACTTTCCGCCGGCTCCTCGGACTCGGTCGCCGAGGCCGTGGCGATCCTCGGGCTCTCCTGCTGGCTCTCCGCCGGCCTGTACGCCACGGTCTTCCCGCCGAAGGACAGTCTCGGTGGTGGCAGCGGTTTCAGACTCGGCACCGGCGCGAACGAGGCCGTCTCCACCTTCCTCCATTTCATCGTCGGTTGCTTCTCCACCTCCTCGTCGCTGGAGTCGCCGTAGAACCGCTTCGGTACCCTCTTCCGCTTCGACGAGCGTTTGTTCTCCGTTTCGGAACCGCTACCGCTCACGTTCTGACCCGGCCTCCCACCGCCTCCTACCGTTCGAGGCTCGACGATCGCGCTCATGGGGTGCGCGTCGTTCGCGATTATGCTCGGCACCGACGACGCCACGCCCTGCTGCATCGTCGCCGGCGACGAGGCCGAGAAGCCCGGGTTCTTTTGGTAAAACGCTTTAGGAATGTTCAATTTTATGGACTCCACGGCCGGCGCCGCCGCCGCGTTGCGCTGCTTCGCTCTCTCCCCTTTTTTCCGTTTCTTCGTCTTGACCTTCCTCTTCTGCTGGGGATGGTCCTCCGCGGTGCCCGGGACGGGGTCCGGGGAAGGTATCGCGGCGTCCGCGTCCGCGTCCGCCAAACCGTTGTTCAACGGGATCGCGGACTCCGTGGACGCCGGTGCAACGGCTGCCAGGAGCAGCAACTGATTCCGCTTCTCGGCGAGCAGCTTGTTCGCCAGCTGTTGCGGATGCTCGTCGTAAAAGTCCTCGTCCGTCTCCGTCTCGTCCGTCTCCAGGTCGGACTCCCTCAGCAACAGCTGAGGCGGGGGGCAAACCGGATCCACCGAGATCGCAGCTTCCCCGTTCTCCGCCTCNGCGACCGCTCAATTTCTCGATTCGATTCGATTCGATTCGATTCGATTCGATTCGATTCGATTCGACCTGCCTGGCAGTTTGTGCTCGATGCTACAATTTCAATAGAGTGTTGTTCGTTGCGCGAGAAACGCCTGAGAAAAGTGTCAAAGTGTCGTTAAACGTCGTTCAGAAAAGTTGAAACGTTAGAATAGTTTCGAATAATCTAGAATAGTATCGAAACAATGAGAATTTCTGAAATCTCCGAAGAAATATTTGGATTTATTCTAAAACTTCAAGCGTGTTTCGAACGTTCCAAGATATTGAACAATTTCAAAACAGATAATATATACGTAGCCGTTGCGAAATCTGAAATTTTCCAAAGTTCGACGCTATATCCGATTACAGCTAACGTTAAGAAGATTCGCACGTTTCAAGGAGGAATTTTTCAATTGATATTATATTAACGATATATTATAGAGCATTTCGAAATCAATTACATTCTGCCCAACCCGATGCAACGTTACGATCACGTTCGCGCAACTTGCCAAAATTTCTACGCGTATTCTTCTTCGAGTCGTCGCCCAATCGTTCGTACACACGTTGCATACGGTGCACAGCACGTGGAACGTGCGTCGAATCGCGGTACGTGTCAAGGCTTTAAAAAACATTGCACTCAGGACTGTTTCAACTTGGAAGAACACTCTAAGCAACGAAAGTTCATTTTCCGAAATCGCCGGGAGACGAGAGCGCGATCTCCGCGAGAAGAGACGGAGGAGGGACGGTTGAGCGGTCGCGATCATCGAGTATGCCTAAAAAGCAATTTCAACACGCAGACACCACCCGCTGCTATCAGTCGAAGTAGTCCTCGTTTTGCACGATACCGTGTTTCTTTCTACAGTCCGGACAATACCACTTGCCCTTGGGCGGTACCATGATGCCGACGCACTCGAAGTGAAACCACTCGATGCGACAGTCCTCGCCGTCGCAGGCGATCATCTCCGAGACCTCGTCGTACGGGCACTGACAGTAACAGTAGAGATTGACCGGCCGTTCCGGGATCGGCGGGTTGCTCTCCGGCAGATGCGTTTGCAGCTGCTGGCTAGCCTCGATCTCCGTGTCGCTGGAGTCGCTGCTACTTTCCGCCGGCTCCTCGGACTCGGTCGCCGAGGCCGTGGCGATCCTCGGGCTCTCCTGCTGGCTCTCCGCCGGCCTGTACGCCACGGTCTTCCCGCCGAAGGACAGTCTCGGTGGTGGCAGCGGTTTCAGACTCGGCACCGGCGCGAACGAGGCCGTCTCCACCTTCCTCCATTTCATCGTCGGTTGCTTCTCCACCTCCTCGTCGCTGGAGTCGCCGTAGAACCGCTTCGGTACCCTCTTCCGCTTCGACGAGCGTTTGTTCTCCGTTTCGGAACCGCTACCGCTCACGTTCTGACCCGGCCTCCCACCGCCTCCTACCGTTCGAGGCTCGACGATCGCGCTCATGGGGTGCGCGTCGTTCGCGATTATGCTCGGCACCGACGACGCCACGCCCTGCTGCATCGTCGCCGGCGACGAGGCCGAGAAGCCCGGGTTCTTTTGGTAAAACGCTTTAGGAATGTTCAATTTTATGGACTCCACGGCCGGCGCCGCCGCCGCGTTGCGCTGCTTCGCTCTCTCCCCTTTTTTCCGTTTCTTCGTCTTGACCTTCCTCTTCTGCTGGGGATGGTCCTCCGCGGTGCCCGGGACGGGGTCCGGGGAAGGTATCGCGGCGTCCGCGTCCGCGTCCGCCAAACCGTTGTTCAACGGGATCGCGGACTCCGTGGACGCCGGTGCAACGGCTGCCAGGAGCAGCAACTGATTCCGCTTCTCGGCGAGCAGCTTGTTCGCCAGCTGTTGCGGATGCTCGTCGTAAAAGTCCTCGTCCGTCTCCGTCTCGTCCGTCTCCAGGTCGGACTCCCTCAGCAACAGCTGAGGCGGGGGGCAAACCGGATCCACCGAGATCGCAGCTTCCCCGTTCTCCGCCTCCGCGGTTGCTTTGTTCTCCGCGTCGACGTTCGCCGATTCCGATTCTTGTACAGCTTCCTTCTCCTTCTTTCGTTCCTTGCGACTCGACTGCTTCTTCGGAGAACCGTCCGAAGTCGAACTGTCCGAGTCGGAACTACTGCTGGAGCTGGACGAGCTACCGGACGTGGAACTGCTGCAGCTGCAGTTGGTCCCGCAGGAACAACTACTGGAGTCGCTGTCGCTCGAAGAGTCGCTCGACGACGTGCTGCCGCTCTGCTTCTTCTTCTTTGGACTCTTCGCCTTCTTTCTGTTCGCGTCGGTCTCGGTCTCGGTCTCGGCGACGCTTTGCGCAACGTTGCTGCCGGACGGGCTCTTCTCTACTTTGCACGTCGATTCTTGGTCCCCGCTCGAGTTCGCCTCTTTCTTCTCCTCTACTTTAGACCCTGCTTCTCCTTCTTCTTCTTCTCCTCCTCCTCCTCCTCCTCCTCCTCCTACTCCTCCTCCTTCTGCTTCTTTATCTTTGTTCGACCACACCACGCAGTAATCGTGGTCGGCCAATATTATACTCCTCAAGTATTCCATATCGGTCTCCGGTTCCTGTTCTTTTACCGGAAGATCGCCACTACCCGGCTCTTTCATCTGCAAACTTGCCGTGTACGTTTTGAAATTGTCCCAAATCCCGTCCATTATTTGCGCACCCTGTTCCTTCTCTTCGTCGTTCTGCTCAACCTCCACTATACTGTCCGCGGCTGGCACGGGAGAAGCGGCGGATTTCGGTTCTACGGGAGAAGCTGCAGTTTCTTCTATCGGTTTAGCGGTTTCAGTCTCTTTGGGTTCTTTAATTTCTACCTTCTCATCTTCAGTGTCCGTGTCGCTCTCGGAGGAAAGATTCAAAGGCGGTAGATCGTACACGTCGACGACCTTCTTCACCGGTTCCTTCGGCTCCTTCGCAGAGTCGGATACGGTATCGATACTCTCGGCCGTAACAATTTTCTCCTTGTCCGATTTCTCTTCGTCGTTTGCCAATCGTTGATTCAGCGAATCCGTCGAATTTGTGCTACACGGTGGCTCTTTGTGAGCATCTTCGTGCTTGGTCAATAATTTTCGTGAAATAAAACGCTCGGGACATTCGTTGCAAGTATACGGCCGGTCTCCGGAGTGTAGCCTTTTGTGTACCTTCAAGCCAACGGCTCTGGAAAAGCTCGATCCACATTCCTCGCAGACGAAAGCAGTCGGTGGTATGCAGAAGTGATAAATATGTGGCCATTTCTTCTGTAAACATTTCTTACACAGCACACTCTCCGTTCCATGCTTCCAAAATAAATGTTTCGTAATGTCCGGTTTGTTCCTGTACGCGATCCCACATCTATAACATAAATGGTGTAACTTGTGCTTCCAAACGTGATTCGAGAGACGCTGTTGATTCCCGGTAGATTCCAAACAGACGTCGCACGCGTGATGTTTTTTTCGTAGATGCACCATGAGTCTGAACGCGGATGGTAGGCTTCCCATAGGACATAGACAACATCTATACTTTACATTGATATTCGGCGAATACGTGCCGGGGCATAAGTGACAAAGTAATTCGCTGTAACTGTAGAAAGTTGATTTACACATTATACAAATTAAGATTGTTTTTTGATGCATTTTTCGATTATGCAAGTAGAGCTCCTTGTGTACGGCGGAATGAAATCTACAGTGAAAGCACTCGTACGTTCGTACGTCTGGAACGTTATAGGTACCGGTGATGCTACTGTAAGAATCTAGATTAAAGAAGTGGAAATCTAATTCGTCCAGGGACTTTTTCACTCGAACGATAAATTGATCCGGTTGGATTATTATAGCGGGATGCTGAGGATGAAACTTGTGTTCGGCGAGCATGTGTAACCCTAACTGTTTACCGTTCACCGCTATGTGGCGCGCGTGATTGCAATACACGCAAATAGGACTAGCTGCTTCTATGCACTGTTTCAAAAGGTTCTCTATCTCTATGCTGTCCAGTATTCCGTCGACGTTCAGATCGATGAAAGGAACATCCTCTCCAGCCAGCATAATTCCATCGCTCGGCTGTACTTGAGTTTCCACGTCGTTATTTACCTCGCTATTACTCGTATCGTTAATCTCTTTAGCAACCTCGTGTGCCTCCGTTGTATCCAGCTCGGCTATCGTCTCATCGGTAACTTCGTTCGTTTGCTTTCCATTTTCCTCTACGTCCATATTCGAATTACTTTTAACTTCCGACATATTTACTTCGTCCGTTTCTTCGGCTTCTTCGATCTCGTCGGGATCACGGTCCACCACCGCTAACTTTAAGCTATCGGAATCACTGTCGCCGTCGTTCACCCGATCACTGTTATTATTCTCTCTTTCTGTTTCGGGAGCATTCGATGTTTTATCTTCCGTTAACGGGCTCTCGGCATTATTGTTTTCCTCCGATTCTTTGCTAGTATCGTGATTCTCCGCGTCGTCGTTGTTACTTGCAACAGAAAACTGAGAATTTCGGTTGGTACAGATTTTTATAACTAAACTTCTATCGGAGGAAGGGACAGCATTGAACGAGACCGAAGTTTGAGATTCGATGGGTTTTTCAACGTTTCCATTAGCTTCGTTTTTACTATCGTCTTCTTTAGCTTGCGAATCCGATGCGTGCAATTCGTGTTGCGGACTAAACAGCGACCGGTTAACAGGACTGTGAACAGAACTTTCCGGTGTTTGCGAATCCGAATCAATTTTTCTTTCTATCGCAGCCTCTATCGTTTTGTCTTCGTTTACAGATTTGTCTACTTCTCGGTAATCCGTATCAAACTCGTTCGTTCTACTATTACTTTCGATTGTTCTATTCGAAATTTCTGTATCGTGTTTGTCAGTTTCGTCGGAATCCGATTCTACCTTATCGGACGTATCTAGCGTATCGTTTAAGTCGTTTCTATCTTCTTTTCTCGGAGATAATCTCGAGTCTTGTACGCTATCCGTACAACGCGATACTTCCATAATTGTTTCTATTACGCTATCGTATGGCTTATTATGGCTGGTTACATTGGTCGACGAGTTTATTTCGATATCATTTTCAGGAACCTCTCTTTTACACGTCTCTTCTTCCTTATCTTCGTACGAATCTTCGACAAATTTCGAGACTTCCATTATGGTCTCTGAAACAGTATCTTTAATTACATTGTGAACTTCATTTTGTGAATTTTCACCACTATTCGTAATATCACTAAAAGGTGGACTTTCATTTAATTGAGACCCAGTTTTATTATTAGTCTTTCTTATGTACGTATGCACTTTTTGATGAATAACCACACCGTCTTCTATATGTTTAGACCTATTATTTTTTATCGATTTTCTCATAACTAATTTATTTCCGGTATTCACAGTCCTGTCAAGTATATGCGTCGGTACGACACCTGTTTGCGTAAGAGGTGACACAGCAGAATTTACTTCTTTGCTCGTATCCGCTGCTAAACTGCATGTACTCGCGTGCGAACCTGTCTGCCTACACAATGTACATATCGATGCGGTAACATCTTGTTTCGATGCCGGTGAACAAAAGTGATTGTAAAAATTATCCGTTTCTGAGAAAACCTTTTCACAAGTACAACAAACTAAATAACATGACCCTTTAAAAGCACCGTAAAAATCTTCGACCGATGTAAACGCCATTTCTGGAACGCTATGATTTTTAGTTAAGTGGTACGACAGCCTTTCTGCTTGGCCGAACATTCCAAGACAGAACAAACATATATGACGTTTGTGTATGTCTCTCATGTGTAAAAATAAATTCCAATTTTCAAAATAAGTGCCGCACGCCGCGCATAAATAAACCTTCCTTGTAATTTTAAAGTTGGGAGAATGCGACACCGTGGATGATTCCGACGTGCTGGGCATTGGTGTCATCGTGGAATTGCAAGTGCACAAATTTTGTTTTAATACAGAGCACAAATTTGACGACGAGTGACACTTTAAACACTTGTTCTTTAACGAAGGTTGCAGACCTAAATATTGCGCATATTCTGTTATTTTTCCTCGCTTGATTTCTGCCTTTTTTTCTTTGCTACTCTTCGACGATGCATTAGAATGCGTCAAATGTGATTCCTGCACTACACTTTTCGACGTATTTGTTTGAGTTTCTTGAGCTTGCGCCAGAATACGCTTCTTAAAACCTTTAAACACAATTTTTGATCCTGTACTGTTATTCTTTCCTGGCGATTCTTTAGACACGATCGAATTGTATCGTAATAATTGCTTTTTCTCTTCTTCTATTACGTCACTGTACGCGCTATCGATCGAAGACTTCAATGAATTTCCAAGAGAAGTATCCTTAAGTGGCTGTTCTCCCAAAATATTCCACATATCCACAACTTTACTTTCACCATCCTCATCTTCCATAATAGCACTGCTTCGTTACAGCAGTATTTTCTGTAATGTATAATTCAATTGTTAATACGTAAATATTAGAAAGACAATTATATCGATTAAATTACTAACTAAGCGTATATATACCGAGTTAATCTTTATTACAATAAATATTAAATAATAGAAAACAAATGTTTACATAGTCATTAAAGCCTAATATCGTTAACGACTAAATATTATAAATTATCTTTACTGTTACAAATTTATTTCAAGGAAATGATCGTATTAATAAAGCAATTTCTTATGTACTCAGAAATTCATACCGTTAATCGAAACTATATATCAAGGAGAATATAAAAGTGATTGTAACCGATGCATGTATAAAGCCACCTGTTACACTAGTGATATGTACCGTTAGTTATTCCCTTGTAATAGCAAGAACACGGAAAAGTTTTCAAATCACTTCTTGTGCGGAAGATTCAAACTATTTCAGCATAATTTCCAAGACGCAAGTATTTTATTGCGACACTAAATGTAACTCGAAGCTTACATCTAACAGTCTTCCTTTATGTCAATATCAACTTATTTAACGTATATGTCAATGTTTAATGTATACTCTATAATGTGTAACAAGCATTTAATATAATACCTCTGATAAGGGTATTACAAAATTGAGCACATGGTACGACATGCAAGAAGCCCTTCGCTGTGACCATCACTCCACAATGATTCAGCCCCAGAGTTCCCACCAAAACAGATTACTATGATGAAACTAATGTCAAAATAAGACAAACGAGAGTGCACATCAGACCCGGACACCACGGTAACAAGTTTCAGCAAGAGAGTATTGCTATAAGCTTTTGTTGAACACAAGGATGATTCCAGTGTAACGAGGGTTGCGTACCTTCCGGTAAACTCCGGCTTGAACGAATCGCTTGAAATTACGTATAACCGTACGCGGTTCGCAAAGGATAAACGATACAATCGTACGCTCTTGAAACGGTAAGAAGTGGAGCACCTTGAGTGGTTCGTCGCGATCCGCGCCGAAAAGGTTAGTAAAATGGCGTCATATCAATGAGTACGGCTCCGTCCGTGCTTCCAACACATCCTCAGTGATGCCACCTTTCATCATGTCCCACCATAACCATAACCTGCTGTCGAAGAGGTTAGACGAGTGCCATCGAGCAAAATAAAGTTCGCAATATTCTGGATTTTCGGCAATCGGTAGAACGTTTCGAATTGGTCTTGTAGAATGTTTGACTTGAGCGCGACTGCACTGTTGTCTGCCTCACAGCTGTCGTGCAAAAACTCGAAACTCGAAGCGACGGCATCTCTCGTGGACGCACTCATGTACGCCCAATTGTAGTGCCTGCGATTGCGATTGTGATTGTACCGTGTATACTGTACTATACTGTACTACATTGTACTGCACTGTACTGTACCGTACCGTACATACATACACCCCCACTCTGAATTTCAACCTGACCATACCAGCCGGAGCCGGAGCGTCGAACTCTTTGGATGATATGTACAAATTTGTATTTCCTTCGTCGTGATTGTTCCAAAAATATGAATAACATTGCTTGCAGTTTTGACAGATTACCAACACCGTAAGTCTCTTTGAAACAAGCTATTTTAATAGAAAAATTGTATAATCAATTTATTTTAATATGGTATACGCCCCCCCCCCTCCTGTCTCTCTCGATTCAATTGCATTAACATACATTAAATGTACATGTACATATGTATTTTTCTATAGTGACATTTAAGAGCCGGCATACAAGTATTTTCAGTAACATTATTATAAATAAACGATACCCCAAAAAAGAAAAAGAACATCAATTTCGTACATATTACTTTTATGTTGTATTGTTCGATCGTTTAATTTCCGTGTTACGAGACTGTGTAATGTGTAATATATTTCGTCAACCTCTGTAAAAAGCTTTAAATGTTTCAACTATTTACATATACACATATATATATATATGTACCGGAATTATAAGTAGTATATTGGAAAGGTATCCAATGAAATTATATAAAGTTTCTTTTTATGTAGTTTTTTCTGGTACAGTTACGTGTAGCTTTGTTGTCCGTAGCTGTTCGAATGTCTATTTCTCAACTTCTATTTTGCAAACGTAATTAGAGATTTTATTAATTTATTTTCGTATTCATACCGTGTTCGCACACAACCCGTCACCGCAGAAAGTTCATTTTTTGAACACGAAGAGAGCTCGTGTTTATTTCTGTGGAATGATGGAATGATAGAAATGAACTTCTTTAATGTATGTTGGAGTTCAGCTATCTATTTGCAACGTGTGAACACAGGTAAAATGTGTTTGCTTCCGAAGCGACTCTAACGTCTTGTAAGCTTAACAATTAGTCGCTTAACTCGTTATGCTGAATCCTCTGCCAGATGTATGATAATGCTCTGTCACGCTCTACTGGAATTCAATGGTCAGTAAAGAAAATATATAAAGTTGCAATATTTGGAGAAGATAAGATGGTGTTTCAGAAGATTCATGAAAGGAACTTTATTCTTTTTGTACATGAGATACATAGCATGCCGCTAGATGGCCCCTTTCAATCGAACTTTCATTGGGTGTTCGACCGCATATGGCAGATATTTTAGGGAAGTGTGTTGAAATAAGCCAAAATAAAATAAAAACCAAAGCGGACAAGATCACAGTTGAGACTTCATTTCTATATTATATTGACGATTAAAAGTTTCATTGAACTATGGTATGTAATCAGCTAATAGAGAGTGGCATCGGATCAGTAGGAGAGCGGACGGTGACATTCCATGAAACAGGCAGAAACTTGACTCGTGTGTCGCTATTGGCAGACATTAATCGGTAATAACTTAAAATCAAGTCTAAAATTGTAATTTCATTATATTTCGTTTTACAGTCTAATTTTGGCTTATAGAATCATCCTTAAAATATCTAAAAAAACATATATAGTCGAACACACCTACGTATATACACATATATACATATATGTGTGTATGTATGATAGGGAAAGTCCACCTGCAAATGACACAAACCTTTATATGTACACACTATGTGCTCACTTCACTAACGTCATACATCTGAAAATGCTATTAACATTTACATTACATAATTAACTCGAACAACTGTTCAGAAAATATGATTAAGCGGAGTCTAAGAATGCTTTCTTCGACAAACAAATTATAATTGTCCATCACATTTCAGTTATCCGAGAGTTACTAAGTACAAAGTTACCCGTCTATGACTTTATATTCAATGATCGGTTCGCAACGCCAATATTGTGTGCGGTCTGCGGTATTATGGCTGGTTTGCTTCTTTTTTTTTTTTAGCGCGCATTTATTTCCTTCGCTCTGTTACATATGTAGCAATTTTTAGAACACACTTTTCGAATGTTTAAACAAATTTGCATTTTAATGAAATCATTAAAATTGAATTTATACATTTTTCTACTTTCATAGCATATTATCATGCATTCTGCTTATATTTCGCGCTTACCGTGTGCACATGTACGTTTATTGACATTTACTTTGCAGATACATATTTATTTGCACTTACATATGTATTTGTACTGTGCTTACATGTTTTAGACTAAAGAGTACAATGAATTTAAAATAAATTACTATTTTCAGAGTATACTTATATTCTACATACACGATGGAATGTATGGTACATACATATTAACGGCTAATAAATAAAAACGAATATTTTCAACCTTAACCAGTAAATATGTATTTATTTGTCGTCGTCGCATCTCATATGCGTTTTCATGAAATCGTGTATTTCACGACTAACCATTTAAGTCTGCAAACTAACCATTGAATATGTCAACATATGATGGATATAATTTTACGTATGTAATTAATTTTCGGGTGATGAGAATGGGGTAAAGGATTTTTATTACCGATTAACATGATACTTCTTCACTGAATAGTATAAATTTATATTCATCTAAATCAATCTAAGTGTTCTATCGTTGATCTTGTGAATACATGTATCACACATGCCTTTTGTAAATGAAATTGTTTAGTCTTGTATTTAATCAAATTACATACGCCAAAAATCGCGATTATATCAATTTGTTCTTTGATCCATTAACATTGGCATTTTATATGTATCATTGCCGATACGAGAATGCGTATACATGCATACATGCATATGGAATTTGTTCGTTTTATCTTTCGGTGAATGTGCATTTTAAAATTGAACGATGAATAAAACTGCGATTTGTACGAATGTAATGTTTTACAGAAAATTTTTTTTATACTATTTCCAAATGTAACAAGCAATTATGTATATAAAATAAATGAAAAAAATTCAATAAAACCAATGTTATTTGCTGCATTACGTTAGTACACATGTATGCATGTACGTATGGTAATTGTTGTGGATGCGCCAAGAAATTCAAACGTACATTTCGATTGGTTTATGAACACGAATGCATTAAGTATGTGCGTTAGATAGAATGTGTGAATGCGCCAATGCATAATACACCATCTCATTTATTCAGTATTTCATATATATCATTTGTTGATGCTATCACTTTTTGTGTATTTTTATGTGTTGTCAACTTACAACCAAACGTAGCGTACATTGTATATTGTCAAAGTTAAAACATTAACAGAAAAATAGAGCAAGCATCAACACAGCTCGTTCACGGACAGTCGGACGTTGTCATTTGAAAACGGAAGCCATCTTGTGGNTAGCGCGCATTTATTTCCTTCGCTCTGTTACATATGTAGCAATTTTTAGAACACACTTTTCGAATGTTTAAACAAATTTGCATTTTAATGAAATCATTAAAATTGAATTTATACATTTTTCTACTTTCATAGCATATTATCATGCATTCTGCTTATATTTCGCGCTTACCGTGTGCACATGTACGTTTATTGACATTTACTTTGCAGATACATATTTATTTGCACTTACATATGTATTTGTACTGTGCTTACATGTTTTAGACTAAAGAGTACAATGAATTTAAAATAAATTACTATTTTCAGAGTATACTTATATTCTACATACACGATGGAATGTATGGTACATACATATTAACGGCTAATAAATAAAAACGAATATTTTCAACCTTAACCAGTAAATATGTATTTATTTGTCGTCGTCGCATCTCATATGCGTTTTCATGAAATCGTGTATTTCACGACTAACCATTTAAGTCTGCAAACTAACCATTGAATATGTCAACATATGATGGATATAATTTTACGTATGTAATTAATTTTCGGGTGATGAGAATGGGGTAAAGGATTTTTATTACCGATTAACATGATACTTCTTCACTGAATAGTATAAATTTATATTCATCTAAATCAATCTAAGTGTTCTATCGTTGATCTTGTGAATACATGTATCACACATGCCTTTTGTAAATGAAATTGTTTAGTCTTGTATTTAATCAAATTACATACGCCAAAAATCGCGATTATATCAATTTGTTCTTTGATCCATTAACATTGGCATTTTATATGTATCATTGCCGATACGAGAATGCGTATACATGCATACATGCATATGGAATTTGTTCGTTTTATCTTTCGGTGAATGTGCATTTTAAAATTGAACGATGAATAAAACTGCGATTTGTACGAATGTAATGTTTTACAGAAAATTTTTTTTATACTATTTCCAAATGTAACAAGCAATTATGTATATAAAATAAATGAAAAAAATTCAATAAAACCAATGTTATTTGCTGCATTACGTTAGTACACATGTATGCATGTACGTATGGTAATTGTTGTGGATGCGCCAAGAAATTCAAACGTACATTTCGATTGGTTTATGAACACGAATGCATTAAGTATGTGCGTTAGATAGAATGTGTGAATGCGCCAATGCATAATACACCATCTCATTTATTCAGTATTTCATATATATCATTTGTTGATGCTATCACTTTTTGTGTATTTTTATGTGTTGTCAACTTACAACCAAACGTAGCGTACATTGTATATTGTCAAAGTTAAAACATTAACAGAAAAATAGAGCAAGCATCAACACAGCTCGTTCACGGACAGTCGGACGTTGTCATTTGAAAACGGAAGCCATCTTGTGGCCGAGCTTCCCATATTATACAGGGAATAATAGTTCAACGACTATTTGTCCCGTAAAATTGTTTCGTACTTTTTCCCTACGTCTAGACTATGCATGAATTATTGTATCACATGTTTACATAGCCATGGCTGCGACGAGAAAGTTGCAAGGTGAGGAGAAAATGTTTCCAGCATGTTTACATTTAGAAATTTTGTTATGGCCCTGCACCACTACAACTTTGCCTTCAATCTTGCTTCACGATCTGCAATTCTCTGCCGGTTTAAACGCTTGTATTTGCGACTAGTAGCGGCCTATTTTTAACTTGTGTTACCTATTTGCATGCAGGCTTCTGTGCCTGACAGTTGGTACAGGTTGCCAGGGTATGATGGATTGTTATGTTCTACTCAACTTTTCACATGTTTCTTTCATAAAACTTGAATCTTTCTACTATGTGTTGTGTTCATAATTGCCTAATGTTACTATTTTATGTCAGCATAACCTTTTAAACATACTTTTATTTCTATTATATGATGCACATTTATAGCGGTGCGCGGTACAGCAGATGTAAAGTATTTGTCGGTAAAAGCATCTAATACAATCTGTTTACGTAGGATATGTATATGTACAGCTGTATATTGTTATCGGCTTTGTGTTTGTTTATTAATAACCCCTAATAGAGTCGGTAAAGTTGGCAAAGGATTAACAAAAAAGTTCTCGACGTTATTCATAATGTTTTATGGCATCCGTTACTTTTTCAGCTAGTCTAATCGTACCATTTAGACCTATTATCTGTATAGTCAGATGTTTGAAACAGTTGTTGCACAATGTAGTTTACTAAATGCACTAATTTAAAGAAAAGTCAATTAATTAAATAAATCATCTGTATAATCCAAAGTTGTAAGAAGCTTATATACTTTCTATTTAAATGAGAGGTAACTTATTAATAATAGAATCATTTTTTTATTTGTCTCAGTTCTACATTGAATATTATTAAAAAGTATTTCTACAGTACTACTAGAGAGCGTTCATTCGATAAAATATATTTCTATATAAATTAACTTGCTATAATAAACATAATTTCATATAAACGTTTTGGAAAACTATACGAACAACTTTCTAATTTTAGGTGAAATAGATCGGTGCCTTAAAAAAGTGACGGAGGGTGTAGAAACATTCGAGGACATTTGGCAAAAAGTTCATAATGCTACGAACAGCAATCAGAAGGAGAAATATGAAGCAGACCTTAAGAAGGAAATCAAAAAACTCCAGAGGTTACGTGATCAGATCAAAACCTGGCTTGCGTCAGGCGAGATTAAGGATAAAAGTACCCTGCTCGATTATAGGAAGTTAATCGAGACTGTAAGTATATTCCAATCGAGTTTGTTAATCGGAGTAATTACTATGAATTTCATGTAACGAGTATAATATATATTCTTTTTAGCAAATGGAAAGGTTTAAAGTAGTAGAAAGGGAAACAAAGACGAAAGCGTATTCAAAAGAAGGTTTAGGAGCAGCTCAAAAACTTGATCCAGCTCAGAAAGAAAAGGAGGAAGTTAGCAATTGGCTTGCAAACTCTATAGATGCTTTAAATTTTCAGGTATAGAACAGGAAATTGTTATTTATGAAATTAAGAAAATTTTGCTGTAGCCTAGTATGTCGTGTTGATAATTAATTTTGATACAGCTGGATAAATTTGAATCGGAAATGGAGTCCTTACTCGCTGGAAAAAAGAAAAGGTTAGATAAAGATAAGCAGGATCGGATGGACGAATTAAAAGCAAAACTTGATAAACACCGTTTCCATATTCGTAAATTGGAAACATTGTTACGCATGTTGGACAATATGTCTGTTGAAGTTCATACTGTAAGTATGTCATTTTAGAACAGTGCCAAAGTAATTGTAAATTAAAAGTTTGTTACGTATATATATATATATATATATATATATAATAAAAATTTCGTTCGGTTCTCTTTTTCAGATTAAGAGGATAAAAGATGACGTAGAGTATTATATAGAATCTTCGCAAGAACCTGATTTTGAGGAAAATGAATATATTTATGATGATATTATTGGTCTCGATGAAGTAGAGTTGTCTGGGGTTGGTATTCCTTCGTCAGCAACTACCGATAGCAACAACAGCAATGAGACTGGAGGTACACCAACCTCAACTAACTCTGGTACTTCTCCCATACCATCACCCCCATTAAGTTCTACCATGCACAACCATTCGAGTGATAGTTCTACGGATAATGACAAAAAAACAAAGGTTTATATACTGTCATACTTAATATAGATTCATAAATGTATACTAATTCTGATAACTTTCTGTATTGCTGTACGTAACTTTGAAATCGTTAAAAAGTAGATAATTATTGTACATTTTTATTTCAGCCTGTGAAACCGACAGCAGTCAGGCCATTATTAAATTCACAGGCGAGCATTCCAACCACGGGAAGCACTGCCACTATAAAATCGAATTTATTGACGAGCAGCACTCCGAGCAAGACCATTCCCATGACACCTAGCCATAACTCGCCTAGTTCTACAAGTCATCATATTGCTACAACTAATGCAGGCAACTTTGCCACGGTAGCTGCTTCGCATAGTAATTCGCAAGCCATCCATTCTACCTCTAGTAAAACATCTTGTAAGTAATTCGTGTAACGTATCATTCGTACGAATGGAATTAGTAAATTTACGATCTGTTTCGCTTTCAAATTTATAGCTCATAGCAGTGAAAATGGTTTGTTGTCGTCTTCATCCACGTCCAGCGTTACCTCCAATGTGCCACAGACGATCTCACAGCAGCACAATAATCCTGCACCTATACAGACGACGCATGTATTACATAATCAACAAAATCAGAATCATAACAGTGAAACTGAAATGACGACGCCGATACCACCATCTTCTTCGCCACAGTCGTCAGTTAGCAGTATGTCTTCGCCTCCGCCCGCAAATTCCTGTTCGCCAGCGCCATCCGCTGCCAATGGTCTCATGCCTAAGCTTCCTGATGGCATGTCTTCTTTGAAATCTATAGCCCAACAAGTAATTGTCCGAGCAGGTTTGGAAATACCGCCGTCCGAGTCAAATAGAAACATCTTTGATAGTGCTATGGCAAATAATAACAACAATAATGCCACATCGGAAGTACACATTCCTCCCCTGCTTGGTGTTGCGCCACTCGGGCCGGTACCTCTTCAAAAAGAACATCAGCTACAGTTCCAGATGATGGAGGCCGCTTACTATCATATGCCCCATCCGTCTGATTCTGAACGTTTAAGACCATATCTGCCAAGAAATCTGTGTCCAACACCTCCTTATTATCAACAGGTATTGCTACACTGCACGATGATACATAGTTAGCTCAGAAATCCGCGTGCGTGAGACTACTAGGAGCACAATATGTGCAGTTACTACTACAATTGTGTAACGATATCTCAATATCAAACTCGTCGAGTCTTGTGGACGATAACGTTGATTGGCAAGTTTCAAGTGAAATTTTCCAATACCGATCTTAGTCGATCCAGTTATTATTCAATTCATGATTTGTTTCGACTTGTTTTCATTGAGAGAGAGAGAGAGAGAGAGAGAGAGAGAGAGAGAAAGAGAGAGAGAGAGAGTTGTAGGTTATGATTGTTAATTAAGCTAATTTACTAGGGTTCGACGAGATTGAGATCAGTCGAGCGTATAACGAATGCGATAATAGCTGAATATGTTGCACTTGTCTTCACGCGCAAAGGTTTCAAATTAAAGTAGATCAAATCCTGAATTATGCTTCAAAGATATTATAGTAACAAAGGGCTTAATTTGTTTGTATTCTAAACATTTATTCTGTTCGATGTAGGTTCAACTTCCCCATTCTGACACTGTGGAATTCTTCCAACGTCTTTCTACAGAAACATTATTCTTTATATTTTATTACATGGAAGGATCGAAAGGCCAGTACCTGGCTGCAAAAGCACTGAAAAAACAAAGTTGGAGGTTTCATACCAAGTACATGATGTGGTTTCAAAGACACGAAGAACCAAAATTAATCAATGAGGAATACGAGCAAGTAAGGAATATCATTTGTTCCCGTAATAGTCGAGAAATGATATAAATTATTTTCAAACATTATGTAATTTCTTATATAACCTTAACATAATGTTTATTTCAGGGTACCTACATTTATTTTGATTATGAAAAGTGGGTACAAAGGAGGAAGGAAGGCTTTACATTTGAATACAAGTACTTAGAGGACAGAGATTTGAATTAACAGTCCTGTTACTCACGAAGTCTCCGAAATGCACTATTTCTGTACCGGTATTATCAAAAATCGAAAAGACAAATTTTATTTTTTACGATTCTATATTTTCACAAAATATAATTTTATTTATTAGTAAAGCGTATCTCAGAAAAAAAGTAAATGAAACAAAAAAGATAGAAAAGCTCGTGCATAGCAGGAAATGAAGGCACTTCATTACATTTCAATGTTGCGACGGTAATCTCTTCTATATGCATATTCCTTTTTGAAACAAAGAAAACAAAAGAATGCAAATATTACAAAAGATGAAGTAAGTTAATCGGGGACAGTAAATTGTAACTGTAAAAAGTAATGATATGAGTGGCACCAGAGACACACTTTTAACATTTTAGTGTGTGGTGTGTGATACAAGAAGAAGAAGTTATACTCGCTGGCGACTGACTGTAATACCAGTACAAACATGCGTGCGGCCCATCTGCCGCTCTTGCAATGGTATGTCTTAATGTTAGATTATAAGTAGCCTTTTTGTATAAAGTATATTGAGGTATAAAATCCTTAAATTGAATTACTGTACAGAATGTGTAGAAATAGTGAATAATAATATTATGGAATATATTTTATTTCTCATTTAAATGAAACCTAAGTTGTTTCAATTTTTGTCATATCTGGCACATCTTTGACACCTTGCATTCGGAACATTCCATCCATTAGATTTCTGCCCTCGATCAGGTTATTTAGCTATTTTTTACTATATCGAAAAAACGAGCCTCGAACTCGTTTAAGTCAAAAGCCCGTTCACCAAGTATTTATAGTGGCATACTTAGAGTAAGCTACTGTTCTACACACCTTGTCAATTCATGAAGTCTTGATTTCATTCATTTTTCAGCAGTCTTGATCGCAACGTATTGTATTCATTGAATGGCGATTCGTGATAATCACTGTGCATATGTATCTATGAATTATCGAAAAATAAGGGAGAAAGAGAGTGAATGATAGAGGGAGCGAGTGAAAGAGACAGAGCTATATTGTACGAATTTATTTATTATAAAATGTCGATATTACCAAAAACTGAAACATTTTTAATGGGAAACAAAAGAAAAAGAAAATATCATTTTCAGTAATTTCGTATACATATACGTATACACATATACATGTATATTAACTTACCTGTTCGATCTCCAAATGTTTCTTATTAAATCTTAACAAGGCAGTATCAACATTTCGAATAGATAATTTCAGACAAAAGGTCTTTGCTCCAGAGATTGAAATGATTGTGCTTGCACGCGTGCTATTTATCATTAAAAAGCCTTCGACAACGAGATTAAGCATAATTGCATCCCTTTAACGATACAGAGAAAAATCAAGATTTCTCATATGATTGACTTAGTGCTAGGATAGAGATCTACTTACTAAGCAAACAATAGATGTATTCTAAGCAGATACTATCATTACAAACGAAATTGCGACCGGTATGTTTACATAACAGTACCTAAAAACGTTTTTCTTTTCATCCACTTTAAGACAATATTCGATATCATATATATATATTTCTAAGAAAAAAACACAAAAAACAAATGGTGTTGCGGTAAATGTTGGTTTGCAAGTTCGCAGTACACTTCAGATATATTTTTTTTCTTTCTTTTTATTATTCTCAATATATTCTGCAAAAATTTTACCACGTGATTACACATCATCCACTACTAATGGCCCTTCAATAGTGTTCAATATGTTAACGTGTATCGAAGGTGTCATGCTTGTTAATAATAAATTAACAGAAGTTAGGTCTGGGTTAGGTAAGATTTACAGAATTAAAATAAATCAAGGATTATTCATTTTATGCGGCACTACATTATTCTCCGGTGCACATTTTATGAGATCCGATTTGCAATCCCACATGTTTGAAAAGAGATTCATTCGATCGTACAATGTTATTACGCAAAGAAAAAGAGATAAGGATTTGTTACTACTTTATACAGTTAAATAACATTGTAGAGCTCTTAGAAGTCCCATTATAATCATAATGTTAAAACGGAACGGTGTTGTTCTGGAGTATCGTGTACAATGCTAATTAATGATTTTCTTTAGAAATTCGGAGGAACAGTTTTTAAAAGAATTTACAACAGTGTGCTGTGTATAACACTTTTGCATTTGTTACAATGTTTTGTTGCTCTTCGAATGTATTACATGCTCCTAATCAATATCTCGCATTTTCTAGTAAACCAAGGTTCTGCTTTGTAATTTATGTAGAGACATATGAACATGAACAGGAGATTGAATTGGTTGTGTAGGTTGATGAGTTCTGCTTTATTAATATGAGCTAACAGTTATTATTACAAGTGATAAATGACGCAGGTTAAAAGATTGTGATTTTTATGATCTATTTTATACTTTTATTTGAATAGATATTTCTTTTGTATAAAAAATACTTAAAGAAATCTATTATTACGGAATAACTGATGATTTCCTTAACATTAAGACATTTCCCTTTATTTTACAGCTTATAAAGTTAAAATGTTTGGTTTTTGTTTGTAAAAGCTTGAATTTATCGTTTAATTTGATTAGTTACATAGTGATAAATTGACACTGCGGTAACCGATTTGTCCATCAATGGAATCCTCTTCTATTACGAACAGAGTTTCGAAGATTGCAAATAAAAAACTTAAATGTGGTTTTGTAAATTGACAATTACTTAAGGATTTTAATACCAACTATGAGTTTTGGATGCACATACATATGAGAGGAATGGTGATCAGATTTATAAATAAAACAAACAACAATGATAATAAAACTAAATATTATCCTGTGTTGAGATTATTTATTAAGAATTAACAAATGTATCGAATAAGTTAACCAAGCGGTTCAACCATTTTTACCCTTAATTTTGCCTTTCATTCTTTTCCTGAATCCAAACGACTGCTCGGTGTCGTCATCTTCATTATTGTCCCCACCACCCTTCTTTCTCTTGCCTGATTTTTTGCTCTCTTCAATGTCTTTCATTTGCTGAAATAATATATATATATATATATATATATATATATATATATATATATATATGAATGTTTTCGATGTAACGTAGCTTTTATTCGGATTAGGTCTTGAAAAATTAAATTTACCATTTTCGCGATACGTTGCGCTTCGGCTACCCTTTCTTGAAGTATCATCACTTCCTCTTCTTCTGTGGGATACAAGGGCAACTGCTTCGATATGAGGTGCTCGATTCTTTGATATAATTCGACGTCGTATTGTGTTACAAATGTAATCGAACGACCAGAACGGCCAGCTCGTGCAGTACGGCCGACTCTGTGTATATAATCCTTGCTATGCGTGGGTATATCGAAATTTATTACGATATCTACGTGAGGAATATCAAGACCCCTATGAGTAAAAGTTTACATGAAAACGCTCTGTTTGTTATAAATACATGAATTCAAGACGTTAACGTTTACCTGCTAGCAACATCTGTAGAAATAAGTATGGACCGATTTTTTGCTTTAAATTTCGTTAGAGCAGCTATCCTCTTATTTTGCGACATCTGCCCATGCAATGGTACTGCGGTAAAGCCTAAATTTCTTAAAAGAAGCGCAGTCCTCACCGTATTGTTACAAGTTCCGCAAAAGATCATAAAACTATTGCCTGCTAGTTCATTTAATATGTGTACCAAATACACATCCTTGAATTTTACTGGGATGAATACATAATATTGTTGTAACTTTTCAACTGTTTGATATTTCGTTGAAACTTCTACTTTAACTGGATTTTGCAAAGACGCTCGTTGAAGTTTCTGAACTTTTTTTGTCATTGTTGCAGAAAATAACAATGTTCTCCTTTCCTTGGGTATTACTCTTAAAATTTTATCTACTTCGACTTCAAAATCCATATTTAAAATACGATCTGCTTCATCCATTACCTTGTGCAAACAAAATATTTATTATTTATATAAATCTGTATGTAAAAAGAAAAATATTAATAATTACCAAAAATTTTAACGAACGCAGATTAAAACCTTTAGTATTTTCTAAATGGTCGACCAATCTTCCTGGTGTAGCGATCAAAACGTGTGGCTTTTTTGCTAACAATAGCGCTTGAGACATCATATCCATTCCTCCTACTATTACAGCACATTTTACACCGATGCTTGATCCTAAAATGCGATAGAATCATGAAAATTATTACCAATAGAGAGAAGAAGAGAACATCGGCAACGCCATTGTTACCTAAAGCTTCGAATTGTTCCGATATTTGAAATGCCAATTCTCTGGTAGGTGTTAGAATTAAAGCAAAATATCTTTGTGGATTTTCTAATAACGACTGTAATATGGGAAGCGCGAAAGCAGCTGTTTTTCCAGATCCGGTTTCTGCCAACCCTATTATATCTTTACCTATATATTTAACATACAACAAGTAATTTAATCGCATATAGCTATAGTTTTATACTTTTAATAAGTATTAAATATTTTTGATTTACCCTGTAGTGCCAATGGAATAGATTCGCATTGAATTTTCGTAGGCGACTTCCACTTGAGATCTTCGCATGCTTTGCATAATACATCTACAAGTCCCTATAAACGAATATATTAATGTAATAAATTTGATATTTATGAATAATAATTATACCTTCCAAGCTCTAACGGTTATTATACTTTTACTCTGAAAATTGAAATACCATTACTTATACTCTTTGTTTATATATCATAACCCTAAGTTTTTTCACATTTAGAAAGACTTTCACGAGAATAGTTTTTTTGCAGTAATTGTTATATGCAATACAAAATATTTACATTTAAAAATCGTCCAGTAGTTTTATTATGCAATTTAGGAAAACTTAATAAACAATGACACAGACTCTATTTAGGTTATAGTTTTCCCTAATACATTGTTCAACTTACCAAATCCTTCCAAACTACTTTCTCAACATTTTCTTCATCAATTTCCTCTGTTGTGCTAATTTTCTCGTCAAAACTACTTTCCTTTGTCAATTTACTTTCGTCCATGATTTAATTACTAACCTACTATCTTTTTAATTCACAAAGAATCTTGTCTGCACTCGTGTGCACGACATGAACCAATAGCATAGATAGACGTAGCCTCGTTACGCGGAGGATCGAGGCAAACGATGGAAGAAGATTTCAACCGTCCGTGGCGATTATGGCGCCTCTTTTGTAGGAAAACATGAAGCTCCGTTCGACGTTTGTAGAGCGCCAATTGGGGGGTAGTGGCAAAACACTTAAACGGTTAGGTATATCAAAATCGATTGTCGGTAATTTGGCTAACAATTTGAACGTTTTCTCACTGTCCCAATTAGCGCTGTTCGAACTTTGAACGGAGCTTCATTTTTTCTCCATAAGAGGTATCACAATCACTCTTATCCGTCTAATGCAAGTTCGTTAAAAAACATTAATTTTGGCAAAATTAGGGAATAGAAGACGAAATCAAGGGTACGGAATTGTTCAGGAGAATCTACTATTTCGATGTCGTATACAAAAACAAATTACAACATTGCGAAACATAATTAATTGCTCTTTGAAGTTAGATCAACTATTATGTTAATTAATTATATTCTGCGTTGTTGTTTAGTTTTCTTACACGATATCGATGCAGCAGATTCCCTGAACAGTTCTGTGCCCTCGATTTAATTTTTATCGTCCTAATTTTACCAAAACTAATGTTTTTAAAATATCGGAATTTCCCACACATTTGTAATCGAGTCTAATCTCTACTACAACTGTAGAATTTATATTGTAAATAACAGAACGATATTCATGCGACGAAGAATTGAAGTTTTTGTGCAATGTTACTTCACTGCACAGTTTTACATGATGCAAGCTTCGCTGTGATCTTTATTAGCCAACTATGCACATATCAGGCATCCATAGTAAGTCCTTATTATGTTGACCTCGAGAATTAAAATGATATGGGGTTTCTATAAAGATTTCCAAGCTTAAATGCAATCTTCTGATATGCACTCTGTCCTGACAAATTTTAAATCTAGGTTTTATAACGAAAAATATAAAATACATATTAAAAAAAGAAGTTGACACTGCACACATTCGCGCACATATATGTACACGTACTTTTGCTAGTGTACATATGTATGCATGCATGCATGCATGTGTGCGTTACATATGTACGTCATATGTAGTTCTCGAAGCGCTCTTCAAAGATATCGTTGTACGTGGCGCTGCCGTCTGCATTCTGTAGTAATGGCGTTAAAGTATTTCGTGTGAGATTTGTGAGACTTGCATCGCGGAGAGGACTGCAGTTGAATTTGTTTTTTGTTTTAACATAATTGATTATTCTGCATGAACGGCACGGCGGGGTAGTGATGACCACGTATACGTTTACGCAGAAGACGTTTAAGCCCATACCACCGGAGAAGGGCAGTTTTCCCCTTGATCATGAGGGTTTTTGCAAAGTACTCATGCTCAAATATATGCGCTGTTTGTACGAGAATAAGAACGAAAATACGTTGTGCAGAAGCATAGCAAAGGAATATCTTGGTTGCCGTATGGATAATGAATTGATGGCACAAGAAGACTGGTCCACTCTCGGATACGCTGACCAGGTCAAGGAGACATAACGACAGTGATTTATTACTAATCGATTCTCTCTTATCGAAGCTTTTGTCAATCGACCAGCATTTATGAACTTTTACGTCATGTCATCTTCATTTCATTCGGAGACGTAAATTTATGGATTTTGAATAATATATCGAATTCTCAGATACGCATATACGAGCTTGTACGAAAATATTGGCCAGCAAATCATTAATGTCTTTTAAAGAAAAAAAAAAGTGACTGTTGTTTTAGTACATAGTCGCATTACAGTGAGAAATAATACAGTGCAGTGAAGGATCTTCGAAGCGATTTACTCAGTATTCGAAACTGCCTGGTTCTTAGAGACATTAGTATAATCGACGGATAGATTTAAGAACATAAATCGTTGTTCGAACTTGCAGCCCCGTTACTCGTAGCTCCGTGTCGATTCCAGCTAATCGAAGTATTCCAAAACCACCGGCCTAAGATATTATTAAAATACTTTTTGTCGTGTTTGGATGGACCAGGCCTATTCCGTATTGTTTACCGATATCGTAAAAATAGTATCGTAAAAATACCGTCGATAGAGTGAAGAAATTAGTAAATCGCAAACTAGTGGGAAGAAGATTAAAAAGGAACCGATAAAAATGGCAAGCAACGCTAGAAAGAGAGTCCTGCTCGGTTGTACCGGTAGCGTAGCTACGATTAAACTGCCACATTTAATAGAACGATTACGACAAAACAATTTGGAAGTAAGAGTAGTAGTTACGGAGAAGGCGAAGCATTTTTTAAAAGAGGCAGACTTGCCTTCCGGGGTTCAAGTTTTATCCGACACCGTAGAATGGGCTGCTTGGCAAGACAGAGGCGATCCAGTGTTGCATATCGACTTAGTCAAATGGGCCGATTTATTCTTAATCGCTCCGTTAGATGCTAACACGCTCGGCAAGATAGCTAGCGGAATATGCGATAATATCTTGACCTGCGTGGCGCGTGCCTGGAATCCTAAAAAGCCGTTGGTGTTTTGTCCCGCTATGAATACAAAAATGTGGGAACATCCTGTTACCGCACCGCAGGTACGAATTATAAAGTAATACCGTTTACTAATTTATCGCGTGCTGTTACCAGAATTTACAGTATTACGTCAAATTATGTAAATAGTCCAAATTGGTTTAGGAACGTGGAACTACGAATGCCTACAAGAAGAAACCTCCGATAGCGTTGGCATCGTCTCGGCAAACTCGCGCGATGTAAAATTTTGAGCACCGCAGCCAATGGTACGTCGTTTTAGGGGCAAACGATTAATAGCACGTACGAAATACTCGACATTCGAGAAACACAAAATTTGGTAATCGGTTGCGCATGTAAACGTGGATCAATTTTCTTATCATTTATGTTAGAGAATGAAGTAATTAATTTGTTTCACCTTCGTTTATAGCGTATTAACTTTAATGAAAAACTTACTAACTAAAAGGTAAGACTAATTAAAGATTTGTGAATTAATAATATATATATAATAATAAATATTTGTGAATTATCAAACGTTTGCCTTAAAAACCACGTATCACTGGCTTCAGCTAATGTTTCATCTCGGCGTGTCTCGTTAGGAACAATACCGAGTTGTTCGACGTTCTTTTCCGTCGTATTCGAGTTTGAAAATATTGAATTTTGGATCGTTCGATAAACAGTTTCTCAAAAAACGATTCTGTAGTTTAGCTAGACGACTTATGCGATCTCTACGTTCGCGTAGTTGTAGCATCATTTGACCGAAGTTTAAGCAACAAAAGGTGCAAGGGTGCAAGTTTATTACAAGTTTAGTCCTTCGAACTTGGTCCTTAATCGTTGAGATAGATTCTGGCGTATCTGTTCTTCTTTTCTTCGTACTCCAGAATATACGCTATATTATAATATATATATATACGCTAAATTAGCTTTTTCATTAAGACGCATCGCGATTATCGTCGGTTGAAAAATGTTATCTCGGCAATCGAAACTCAGATTCGTCTAGACTCGGAAAAATTGAAAATTTACAGTATATTACCTTGCAGCGTCTCTTATCTATATCATTTGAAATGTCTCTGTTTGTAGATAGCTTTACTTAAGTCCTGGGGGTATAAGGAGGTCGGTTGCATTTCTAAAACACTTATGTGCGGTGATACCGGAATGGGTGGAATGGCAGAGGTGGACACGATCGTTCAGACTACGTTGAGATTGCTTAACCCTTGGGACCCGTACTCGCCGCCGGATCTACGTCTCTAGCATCGGGAGAACGAAACAACATGTTCAACGAACCGTTATTATCGTACAGATTAAATGTGAAATATTTTATGGAGGAACCGAGGTATAGAGAGTCGATAACGTGTAATTACAGTGAAATTTAAATAGTTTATGCTGACAGTCGAGTTCAAAAGTCCAACGACAAGTTCCAACTTGTGCAATTACGCTTCTCTGAATACACTGTGGCCACAGCATTTTGTTGCTCAATCGAGATGTTTTTTGGAATATCTGCACCAAAGGAAGAGTAGGTAAAGCAGAATCTGTTCGTCGAAGCGGAATGTAAAAATTGTAAAGAGATTCTGTTCACATATCGTTTCGAGTCGAGGAATGAAATAAAAGTATGTACATGTTTTTGTTAAATATATGAGTTAAATAATATCCGTTGGTATTTCTCTTCCGTACCGGATACTTTTAATCGTCGCAATTCATTTTGCCGTGTTCGCGGTTACATCGTTTTATCGAACGCGACGCGTCTTCTGTCGTATAAATTACGAAAAGATCGCGAGTGCGTTAGGAAGAAGAAATTGCGTTCGTCGGTATCGGCGAACATCGATGCTGTAAGTAAAAAGGAATAGGAAAGTCGTTGTCGATCGATACCGCGCGCGCGCGCGCGCGGCATGAACTTTTTCGGTTGCTCGAAATAACAGAAAATTAGTAGAAAATACTCGCGAGTTCTTCATTCACCGAAAGATACGAGTTTCGGTCGGAATCGGGGAATCGGGTCGATTCGTGGTTTATTATTAAAATTCTTTATTAAAATTACTTAAAAATTATCTTATATATTAAAATTATTTAAAAATAGTCTTATTAAAATTACTTCGATCGTACGTTATCGGTATAAGGGGGAAGTGCGTTAAAATTGGGCAGCGCGCGCAGACCGGAGCGCGTACGCGCTCGCGTTCGTACGCGGCTTTACATAAATATCACAGTTTATAAATATTCGCTAAAGTATACTAAACAATATGCTAAACAATAACCCGAGAGAGAGCGGTGTCGGCAGCGTCGACGCGATGCTCGAAGACGTGATCTTCGACTTCCTCGGGTAACTGCTCTCGACGTCGTTCGTTTCTAATTCTCGCGGGCAACCCATCCAGAAGGGTGCGGACGGTTTCGGTCTTTCGTGAGCCACTTTCATCCTGTAGTCGTCGAATTCCCAGAAACCTTTCCCCTTGAAGAAGTACGTTTTGCCTGGAAAAGAGACGCGTCGCATCGTTTCATCGTTTCGTCGTTTCGTCGTTTCGTTCGTTTCACATTTGTCTAGGCTTTGAAAAATATTTCTCTTACCGTCCGTCCATTGGAACACAGCATCGATATCGTTCCCAACACCGGCGAACATACTTATGTCTCTCGGATAATCCAGTTCCACAAATTTAACCGACTCGTCGAACCTGCGGAGACAATTCAATTCACATTTCGAACGAATACGTTAAATACGACGCGAGCCATTTTACGGCCGATAGAATGATTCGCAAAGATGCAAAGATTCTCGACTCGTACGAAATTCGAATAATTCGAACTCGCGCGACTACGCGAACGATTCGGTAAAACATTTGAAATCGTAGAAAGATCGATCGTTGCGATCGCGATTTTTTCAACGAGTTATTTCAGGAAATTCGGAAGCCAAGAGACGCCGCGCTTCTCGATCGAATCTACGGAAAGTGGTTGGATTCGTTCTACGCGGAGACGAGCGAAATTCGCGTTTTCAATACCTCCAATACATGGATCCGCTGAAAAAGTAAGTTTTCCCATTGTGCCCCCAAATCATGGCGCCATCGATTTTCTCCAACGATTGGGGAAGTCCCAGCGAAGTTAACGGTCTCGGATATCCGGGCTCTAGATTATTAGCGTTGAAAACGTAATAGTTTTTCCCGATGAAAAAGACGATCTTCTTGTCCGGGTTCTCGTACACCGCGTCCACGTGGTCGATTTCTTCGGGCAAATTGAACAATCGCGTGATCTCTGCCGGGTAGCCTTCGTACAATCCACGATTACCGATCCTCCAGAGGTACTAGAAATCGATCGTCGACAGAATATTAAAAAAGACGCGAAGCGAAAGCAGTTTCGAGAACTTGCGAATCGCGAATTTGTTTGGTCGAAAATTCGAGGAGACGCGCGCGCGTATCCCGACGGTAAACTCACCCTGCCTTTGAACACAAACGTTTCCCTGCGAATAATGCTGATCGCGTCGTAGCTGGTGTCGCATTTATCCGGCACGTCGTCCCTCGGCGTCGGCGTCCATCGATGCCTCGGTCTTTGCGTGTACGTCGTGGTCCTGGCGGTCGTGCCGGCGGTGGTGGTGCCGGCGGTGGTGCCGGCGGTGGTCGTTGTCGTGTGATGCCTGTGAGGTTTGTGAGGTCTCTGAGGTCGATCCTCCGGCCTTTCCGTTCTGTAATCCGGCTTTTGAGGGTAGCGATGATCGGGTCGACGGGGTCGGTCGTCGTTCGGGTAGTGATTCGGCCTCGTCGGCCTCGTTCTCCACGGTCTGTAGGTCGTCCCGACGCTCGTCGTCGTCGTTCTAGGCGTCGTAGGACGTTCCGGAGGCGGCGGGCCACCCGGTAGATTGGCCCACAGCTTCTCCTCGGGAGCACCTGCAACGCGCACGATCCAGCTGCGATCAACGCTCGGGAAAAAGGTCCGCGACACGCTTCGACGAAAGTCCGATAACCCGTCGCGAGCACCGATCTCGTTCCGTTCCCGAAGTCCGAATAAAATTCCGTTCCCTCGTCGACGACGGTTTCGTCTTCGAGAAGAAACGATCGCGATCGAATACGTTCGACGCGACCGTTGCGACCGTTGCGACCGTTGCGACCGCGAAGAAAACGGTACGACGTCGAGGGGTCTCGACGATTCGACCCCGATAGAACGAGGCAATTTTGATTTTGCGGACATCGATAACGGAACAAGGGCTGATCGAGACGATCTTTTCCTCGCGGCGAATAAATCCGGAAAACGGTCGAAACCGGTAGCAAACGAATCCGCGAACGGCGCGCGTCGTCGTTGAACCGTTCGAAATCGCGACAAGCCCTCGGCGAGTAGAAATTACGCGAGCGAGAAGTCGGCGCGGCAATAAACGCGATGCATAATACATCGCGCCGCGCAAAGTATACATCACGCGCAACCCCGCTATCCGCGTTATTGCATTATTCAAGAACGTCGCGTGTCCCAGAATCGAACGATAATTAATATTCGCTGGGAATCCACCGATTAGCCGAATCCGCGGCCGGCTGGAACCCGGAAGGGAAAGAGGAAGAGACGCGTGTACGCGTACGTGTACATATAGGTGCGGATAGAGAGAGGGGGCTGAGGAAATTAGACGGTCCCGAGGCTCTGCTGCCCGGTCTAATCTCGCCCCTTAAACCGTCGCGGCGCGATTGGAACGACGACTCTCGATAATTGCCGGTATCGTCGTCTTTGAATTTCGAGGAGAGCGGTTTTAGCCAGACCGGGCGGTTGCGCCGTGCCGCGCCGCGCCGGATATACTCGTTTAAAGAGACTCGTTCAAAGTAATTACCGCAATCGCGACGAGCAGATTACGCGGTACCTTACAGCGGCCTTTCGGCTGGCCCGGCTGCCGCGTGCCGGAGTCGTTGCCACGGTCGCTCCGCGGATCGTCCTCGATCGCGAACGATCGCGCGTTCGACGATCGCCGCTCTTCGCGGACGTACCAACGAGCCATTGTGCTCTCGCAACGTACACAGCGGCTCCAGAAGATCTCCGTATAATTTCGAGTTTCGATAAATCGTCGAGACGTTCGACGCTGGACACGCCCGGCCTTACAACGGTATCGCGTCGCCGATATTTATTCTCATGCTACGATATCGTCTAGCGATAAAAAACAGCGTCGATGTCCGACTTTATTTATTCCATTTATTATCTATATTTGTCGCGTATTTATCATCGCGTAAAGCGAGCGGGAAGGCATCGAGAATTTCTTACTTTGCGTATTAACGTTTGCGGGTTCAACGAGGCCCCTAGCTTGTCTACTTGCTTCGCGTCGTTTCCTCGGTTCGACGGCGGAGCGACTCGCGATCGAGCGACGCTCTCCGCGATGCTAATGCATTTTTAACACGCGTATATTGCCGCGTCGGCGTCGGCGTCGGCGTCGGCGTCGGCGGATCGAAGGCCGAAGATCGACGATAGAGAGAAAAAAAAAATTCGATTCGATCGACTTCGAGATCAAAGTTTTCTTTCGTTTCCGTACAGCCGAAATTTCGAGAATTCCTATCTCGTAACGCGACCATTTATTTTTATGCTCGGATTTCGATAGTTTCCGACTATTCTTCCGTTTTTTTCTATTCGAGGAGAATCTTACGCGAGACGATTCGCTTCCGCGCCGGTTGAACGAAACATTTTGTACACAGAGGCGTTACTTTGATTCGCGCTCGAATGAAATTTCTAATCGACGATTTTTTAAGAAATTAAAAACGAACAAGAATTGTTAACGTTGGGTCGGACATTTGTACGCTTATCGGCGATTCCTCGATCGATTCGAGGACTCGTCGAACGGCGTTCCCGTTGGATCCGCGTACTTTGATTTTTCGGCCTCGGTATCGTCGCGTTAGTTTTCATAGCCGAACGATTCCCTATTTACCTAAATACCTGGCTCCGCGATCGCTTCGAACGTATATTCGGTCGAATGAAAAAATATTTAACAAACTCTGCTCGATTCGTCGAAAGCTCCTCTCGAATAATCCTTTCGAACTCGATGCACGATTTCGCGCGTGTACGAAGCTTCGAACGTACGATTTTCAGCAGCACGGAACCGATCGATCGCGTTTGTATTTGCTTTCCCGGATTACGCTGTTTATGCGGCAGTGACGAACGTTCGAATATTTTTTAAATCGATGCGACACGGATACGCGGTCCGTCGAGAAAGAAATTTGATTTTTTAAATCGTCGAACCCTCGCTTCGATTTCGACGATTGTCATCGTCGAAGATATCGGAATTCCGTGGTTCGATACCATTCTCTTCGTTGTTCGTTCTTTTCGTCGCATCTTTCGTTCGCTTTCTCCGGGATCTTTTAACCCGATGCAAAAGACGCGCGAACGCGTAGGAACGATCGCGCGATCACACGCTACGACGGAGAAAAAATCGAGACGCCGATCGCTCGAGCGGTAGTTTTTAATCGCGAACGACGCTTTGTTAAATTTCAATTTACCGGTAAATCAAATTTGTCCCGTTAATTAAAACTTTCGGTCAACTCGAGAATTCGCCTTTGCCGTTAAACGCGCTTTACGGTATTCGATGCTGTCCCCATAATTAGCCGAACGTTTCGGTGTTTAGTTTAGTTGCCGGTTAATCCTTAATCTTGTAATTTGCTGGCGCGGCGCGTCGTCCCGTTATTTGAATTGTAAAATGTTATTTATTCGTCGGGCGATCGTCGGGCGAACGTCGGGCGAACGTCGCCCGTCCCGCCGCCGCCGCCGTCGCCGCATAAATATTATACCGTTTAATTTCTGCCTTTAATTTTAATCAAAAATTTAATCTTGCAATCCGTTCGCGCCGTCTATTTTCGTTATCAAAATGTAGGTCAACGTTTACCCGCGTCTGCAAATTGTAATTAGACCGCGTTTCGGTCAACGCGAGTTCGTTCTTCCACCTTTTTATAACGTCGAAGGGAAGAAACGTTGCGACCGCATCGCGCGCGCGTTCGCATCTTTTCGCGAAACGTCGAATCGTAAAAAAGATAATTCTAGCTTTCTTCTTCTAGGAAGAAAAAGAGTTTAAAGGGTGTCCCCGGACATCGGCGGGAGCAACAGCGAATAAATCCGGGCCGAGGGCGACGACCGGAATGAAAATTGGACGGATTCGAAGGGAAGTTTCGCGAAAACGGATCAAACGGTCTTTTCGAACATCGACCGGCGGTGGCCGTTTACGAAGGCGACGTATCCGTTGCGACGTATTGTGCCGAATTAATTAAAACCATCGGAAACTGCGAGGAACTGGGTTACCCCGTTGCCGGGGCGATCTCGTTATTTAAAATTAAAATTTTTTAACTCGTCCCCCCGCGAACGAGAAGAACGCGCTTCATCGAACCGAGAGCGCGTTTTACGTTCGCGAGATAACGCTCTAAAAATTCGTAACGTAATTTATTCGAAGCAGGTTATTTCGAATCGGGTCGGCCAACGAAGATTCTCGGGCGGCACGGCGCGACTCGGCGTTTCGAAATTTCCACTTTTTTCGCCTCGAATCTTTCGAAGCGCCCTCGATTCGTGCAACGTCGTTGGGAAAATCGACGTTCGTTCGCGACGAACACGGAAGAATGCGCCGTAAGAAAGTTCTTTCGAACGCAAATACGTGAAATAAAAATCAAGTTTCGCAACGCGGTCGGTAGCGACGGGACTCGAAACGCTTTCGCAACGTTTCGATGGTGCTCGTTCAAAATTGTCCGAAAGCTTGCACGCGGAAACTTTCGCAGAATTTCATTTCCCGCGTCGCTTTTAACCAAATGAAACCGCGAACGCGGAGAATAGAATAGAGCGTAACGGTTCGGTCCGGTATCGCCAAGATCAGGGTCGTCCGATAACGTTCGATACGGACCGGTCGAATCGCGCCAATTTTCTGTACAACGTTGTTCGATGCGACAACACCGACAACGTTTCTTCGTTTCGTAGTCCAATTATTACGATACTTTGCGCGGAAACGGCACGATCCATCCATCGCGCGTACGCGCGACGTATCGTCCAAATGCTACGATACCCATACTTATCGAAAATCCAACGATCGAGTAAACGTTCCATCGTGCGAACGCTCGCGTTTCCACGAACGGACCTACCGCTCTTTCCACCGAATCGAGCGTTCCAAACGGTTAAATATCGTTCTCGGAAAACTGAAAAATAAATGGAACGATCGAAACGCGTCCCGTCGAAACGGGAATCTCACGTAGGAGGATGAAAAGTAGGAATGGGAAACGAAAGCGGGTCGAAAGAAAAGCCGGCGGAGAGCGAGAAGCGAAAAGAGAAAATCACGTGGACGTGGACGAATATAATCGAGGGCTGCACGGTAAAGGGATGAAAGGAAAACGAGGTAGGCGCGCGGAATCGAGCGAACAGAAAATAGGAAGCGAAGAGAGCGCGGGGAGATGGCCGATGTCGGGGAAAAATGCGGATCACGAGAAATGGAGAGAAATTGATCGAGGGAGATACAGCGGAGAGAACGAGAGAGAGAGAGAGAGAGAGAGAGAAACGCGTCCTTCGCGATCCGCAGGGCTTCCTCGGAAGGCTAAATCATCGGAACACGCGGCCGGAACATCCTGCTGCAAAGGAAGCAAAGAGCAGGGTGGTCGTTTCTGTATATTTTATTCACGTTTCATTTCGGCCCGTTGTTGCCAACCGCGCGCGGGGACCGTCTTCCCGCACCGCCTACAGCCGCGATTATCCTACGAAATTGTTTTTCCGATTTATCGTGAAATTCGTCGGCCGGTCATATATTTTTCAAACTTCAATTACCCGCGGCTGCCGCGCGCGTGCTCTCGGATTTCCGTGCGAGGGCCCGCGCGTTCTCCCACCTCTCCTCCCTCTTTCCATTTTCCCTCTTCCCTTTTCCTTTTCCTTTTCCTTTGTCCTTTTTCCGTTTTCCCCTTTTTCCTTTTTCCTTTTTCATTTTTCATTACACCGAGCAGCGGCAAAACCGATCGTTCCGCCGTCACGGTATCGCCGATTCGATCGCGCACGGTACTCGCGGTCCGAGGAAGCTCCGAACGAGCACGGTCTTCTCGTCGTTGCGAGGCAACGCGGTTCGGTTACTTTTAGAACCCGGTAGATTCGATTTCGAGAGAGAGAAGCTGCGAGAACGGAAAGATGCCGGAATCGCGTTCGGCTCGAGTGCCGACCGATTCACCCGACAGCCTAGAAACGTTGGATAAACTCGCGCGCGTTATCGAGTAACGCAAGGTAATTCGGAATCACGATCGCACCGATCGACGAGCGTCCGGAAACCGTCGCGCGCCGCGTCGGTAGAAAAAGGCGTGCAGGGCGAAGAGTCGACGCGCGACGCCTCCGAGATACGTCCGAGGAGCCGTACTCGAAGACGAAGCGAGAAAGCGGAAGATCGCAGGAGGGTTGGCAACGCCAACGGGAAGCGAGGGAGCACGAGTCGCGCGGGCGAGCGAGCTTAGCGCGTCGGTGTCGCGACGACTACTTTCGAACGCGATCGTCGGACATACGAAGTCGCTCACCGTACAACTGCTGAATCCCGTGTCTGTCGTCCTCCGGCAGCTCGTAATTGGAGCTCAATCCTTGGTACCACGGGTACATGAGCGCTCCGGGAACCGCGCTATGCGCCAGCCCGAGAGAGTGGCCGAACTCGTGCGCGGCCACCGCGAAAAGACTGGTCCCTGAAACAAGAAACAAACGTTCGAGAGATTCGGCGTCTTACCAGCTACCCACCACCGGCGGAACGTTCGTACTTTCTCTCCCTCGCTCGCACTCGTTTTCATTCGCGTCGTCCGATTTGCTTCTCCCTTCCTCTCTCTCTCTCTCTCTCTCTCTTTAACACACACACACACACCTACCGGGGATTTTTTCTCGAGAATGAAAGGAGGTTTCGGTAAATACGGCGAACCAGACTGGAGGATCTTCCAGAGCTGAAAAGGGAAAATAGAAGGCGCGAAGGAAGGACGACGTCGAGAGTCGAGAGTCGAGAGACCCCTCGAGAAGGGAGGCTCGAGTTGGCGCTCGAGTCACCACTTTGCGGCGCATTCGATGCTACGCGGTTTTTTCCGGGAATTATTAACGAATTTAACCGAGAACAGCCGAAATTAAGTATTTCGCTGGATCAAGATTATCCGAACGCGATCCTCTTTCCATCGGCAATTAAAAGACGGTGCGCCAGGAATCTCCTAGCAGTTTTTCCTATTTCCAACGTTAAAATCGACGAGGTCGCTCCGTCGTTTTTTGTACGAAGATCGACGGTCTATTTATCGGCGACGAATCGTACGAATCGGTGAGACGGAGAAGGTTTCGGAGGCACCTGTTCGGCGCGAGCGGAAAGCCACCGGACTCCGAACCGATCGCGAAACCTCCGTCTCGGAAAATTATCGGACGTCTCGCGAGTTTGCAAATAACTCGCCTAGATATCGAGTCGCGGGAATCCGAAGCGCCGTTCGAGGACAATCGTAATTCGTTCCACTTATTTTCGTGCTCGTCCTCGAGCGGGCGTTCGATTAAGAGCACTTGACTCCGATATATCGCAGCCAGCTGCTGTTAACGTCGAAATTCCAAAGTATCGCGGCGTGGCTCGGCTCGGCTCGGCTCGGCTCGACGAAACTTCGCAACGAGGAAACTTCCGCGGCAGAATCCCGTCGACGACGACGATGGCCAGCGGTAGGCCTCCGAACCTTTCTCCGACGATTCGTGCCCGATGCTCGACGACGCTGTAAACGCTGTGCCAGAGTCGCTGAACGCAATTTTCTGCCGATGGGTCTGTAAACGCGTCGTTCGCGTCATGTTTTTCGAGATATTTCGTAAAATAGGTATTTTCACCTCGTAAACGTGGAAACAGGCGGCTGTAAAACGAACGCGTCGAATATCTTCCGATATCTTCCTCGCGCGTGCTTTCAGTTTCATCGCAGTCGTTTTTATTGCAACTTCCAGTCGGCAACTTCCGCGTCCCTTCGGAACATCCATCTACGAATTTGCATTTTTAAAGACCGGCGACTCGCGTCTCTCCGCGTATTTTTAACCGCTCCGTCGTTTCGATGCTGCAACCGTTCAACTTCCGAACAAATACGTATCGCTTTTCCTTGTATAATTTTGTTGGTTTTCTCGATTACGTCGTCGATCGTAAAAATCACCGGAGTCGTAGATTCTTAAATTCGTATTCGAGAAAAAAAACAAACGAATCGAACCGTAATTAAATTCCAATTGTTTCGAGCGCGAAGCGAGACGCGTCTACCGGGTGTCCCGATTCGTTTCGACGTCCGTTCGGGAGCATTTAAATGATTCGATGTAACGCGGACAACGATGATACGAATACGATTGAAAGCGATCGTTCGGATTAGCAATTCGAATACGCGCGAACAATGACAATTAATCGACGTAGAATCCGGAGGACGTCGCGCCCCGCCGCGCCGCGTCGGCGACCACGGTGTAATTATGCTTAAGCCGATGGAAACTATGGGACGCGGGCCGGCGAGCGAAAGCCCCAATTGGAATCGTCTAGGAACTGTACCGAAACACGGACCAAACTTCTAGCAATAATAATCGGCGCTCGAATCGCGAGAAAGCGCAGGACGCTGCGAAGAGTTACGCGCGCATAGAAACGAACGAAACAGCGAGGAGACTCGTTCGATAATGTTTGCGTAATTTGTAATCGTGTAAAATTTTCTTCGTACCGGATATATCTCGAACGATATTTTTTCAACGAGAAACCCGAAGCTCGTCTCGATTATCGAAAGATCGATGATCCGTTGTTAGCGGTATCGATCGCGAAATCGAGGCCACGGAGCTTCGAGAGGTACGATTCCGTTGCCGGGCCAGCGTCGGATCACGGATTTCGTCGAGAATCCAACGCTGCGCTCGAGTCTCTCGGGATCTCGAGTCTCTCCGTCCTCGGCCCGAATCGAGTCTGGCAAGACTCGTCGGTCTCGTGGCCGGTCGTAGACTCTCGGTAAACGAGCCAATATCCGAGCTGTACCCTTCGTTCTGATTATCAAAGGAAATTTCATATTCGGAATTTCCCTCCGGTTAACGATGTTACGCGGGAATGCTTAACGCGCTCGAACGTTGCGCGCGACGCGTTCAAATTTACCGTACAAAAATCTGCTCGTTCGACCGTTTCGCTCTAAAAAGCGAGCATCGCCGTTCGTTCGTTCGTCTCGCACCTCGAAGCTTCCAACGTCCTTTGCAAATTCGTTGGAGGCTCCGGTATTGGTATCGAGTTCCCCGGCGCGCGCTTACGAGCCGTAATAATCGTGAGAAATCCGAAACGACAACGTTTGTATCGGCAACGACAAAGACAAAGACAAAGACGAGGACGAAGAAACGCTTCGACAGCCCTCCTCGGATCGGTTTCTCGGTCGGTCTCGGCAACGCGGTGACCGAATTGGAGGGTCGCCAAGGAACGGGGCGGACCCGATGTATCGGCCGCACGGAAATTCCTCGATTCGGAAATCTTTCGTTTCAGCTACCGAAATCCCTCGTAAACTTTCTTTCTCGCCGGGCTTTTCTCTCTCGGTGACCACGGAAATCTCGGAAATCTCGGAAATTTGAATTTCAGGAGGGAAAACCGGTTGTTCGGTGCCGGGCTAAACGCGACCGAGCCCGGAACCACGAAGAAGACCATGTGGAACTTTTCCTCCGAATAATCCGACGAATCCGTGTCGTTACGCTCGAATTTAATTGCCCGCGCTAGTTCGCTAATCTCGACGAATATTCCCGCATTCGAATCCCTCCGAATCATACTTTCCAATTAATTTTTCTCTGCCGGCTCGACCCGGAATTTTCACGGAATTTTCACGGAATTTTCACGGAATTTTCACGGAATTTTTGACCACCGCGCCACTTCGAAACTTCGATGCTCGCGAGTCCGGCAAAAGTTTGAGCGATAATTGAACTTTCCATACGGAATCCTGCGGTACGCTCGAATATTACGATACGTATAATGCGGTTGTTCGAACGGTCGTGTACGGTTGCTCGCAAAAATCTACGCGCGTCCGTGGAATTTTGCGCCACTCATTACCGTCGTCGTGCCAGCGATCGATCGTTAACGTAGACTATTTATTATCAACGGCGATCGATTCTTTCGACCATCTCCCTCCTTCCATCCGTAACGTTGTCCAAACGAAGGAGGATTTCGGAAAGGAGAGGAAAGGAAACTATCGTTCGTCGAATTCTCCCTTACCTTCTTCGTTGCTGTCGTCCTGCAGCAGCCATATTTCTTCCTCATCGAAATGAACGTCTCCGCCGCGATCTCTGCCCGGGAAGAAAGCGTGCGCCAGGATTTGACCCTTGCCATCGAAAGGATATCCATCACCGTGATAACCGCTGAAATGGAACAGAAATAAATGCCGAAACAAACGAATGGTCCGACTTCACCGCCGCCAACGGACGACGATCGGACGGTGCTACAGGGGTCAGGAGAATAAAAACTTTCGTTGATTCCAGGGTCGTCGATTTCGCGGTTCACCGAAGATTCTAAACGACGAATAACGATTATCGACTTACGAGCGAGTTACAAGCCGAAACGTGGAAAGAACGCGGGAAGCGACTCGAAAGGAGGTCCTCTTTTTCCGCGAGCAAAACCGACCACCGCGCGAACCTGAAACAATAATCCGACCAAAAGTTGGATTTAAACGTCTTATTTTGTCGGAGAGAGAGAGAGAGAGAGAGAGAGAGAGAGAGAGAGAGCGGAACGCTGGCTGGTAACTCGCTTCGCGTTTCACCCGAAATTAAGTTTTTAATCCGGTCGTCGCGGAGTCTTCGAGACTACTCGCCCGCTTTTCGTCAAATTTTGTGGAAACGTCCCACGCTCCGCACCGCGCGTTCTTCGTTCGCGTTGTTTCTTTATTCGATGTTTCGAAATGCCAATCGCGATGCCGATGCAATGAAAAATTGCCAATCGTTTTGCCAATTTTTAATAATCGCGCGACACGATCGAGTCGAACGGTCGAAGGCGGAATCGAATTTTCTCGATTCGAAACTCGCGAACGTCGTCGAGGAAACGTTCGGGAGGGTCTGAGATTTATTTGGCGGATTTCCGATCGCAGATTTTCGGGAATTTCGTGATCGCGGGAAGGTTCGGCGACCGAGAAAAACGTCGAGCGGTTCGAGAGAAAGCGAACATCGAAGTCTCGGCGTCGTAATCGGAATCTACGCGAGCACGGTCGAGCACAATGCGAGCCGGAACAACGAGAACGGACAAAGAGGGAATCGATGGCTCGATTTACGAAGTACCTTGTTACCGGGAAAATTTATCGCAACGACGCAGCTGGAAATGAGAGTACGATTAAAACCGAGGTCCGTTTAATATCTACCGTTCGCCCGAATTATTCCGTAGCCGTGAATGGTTGCGCGTCGTTTCGCGCTACGCGCCCCGCAGTCGCGAACACGAATATCGCGACGAGAACCGAGCGCGTCGGAGCTTCGCTTCGAACGCGGTCTCTGTTCGTTTTTCGCGCGAGCGCTGCGTGGACAGAAGCCGGCTTTCGTTATCGTTTTCTTTAATTAACGCTTCGTCCGTCGGAATCGTACCGATAGCTTTTTAAACGACTCTGCCCCGCGTTTGGAAGACTCTCGACGGTTTTCTCCGCGTTACTCGGAACGTTACGAATTCGCGACACCGTGCGCGAATAATACGGCGATTCGATCGTCGTTCGATCGACGAAAACTCTCGACCGACTCGCCAAAGTCCGTCGAAACGCGCGAACAACGCGAACGTTACCCTCCCCTGTGGGAACATCTCTTTCCGATCGCGATCGGAAAGTAGACGCGAGACAGCTCCACTCGTCGCATCGCGCGAAACGAACGAAACACTCACCGATGGAAGTACACCAGGATGTCCGCTCGGTCGCTGTTCACTTCCTGGAAGGTGAGCCTCGAGTTCCGCGCCCAGAGGCCGAGGGCTTTGCTCAGTTCGAGACGGACGCCGCCGGTGTCGAGGCCGCTCGGTTGTTCGGTTCTCAGGCTGCGACAAAAAGAAGAAGGGGCCGGGCCGGCCGATCAGGAGCCCGTCGAAAATCGATCCGCCGCGGGAGGCGATCGGTTGCGGGGGTGCGACGCGCCGCCGACCGCGGTCGCGGCTCCGATCGACCACCGAAGCAGAGCCGCGGGAAAACGTTTCCGGCGAGCAGACGCTCCGACGGAAGACGATTCGATCGTCGGGTACCGCGGGTCTGGGACGACGAGGGCTGGATCGAGGAGCACTCGAAGGCGGGATGCCGCGAGAGGAGGTGGAGAGGTGGCGGCGAGAACGTCGAGGTCCTGGGAAATTGGGTAAATTATTCCCCCGACGGGGTGGAAAGTAATAAGAGAAACTTTGCGTCGGCCGGCGAACACAGGAAATTCCCTGGAATCGCTGGAATCGCTGGAATCGCTGGAATCGCGGAACCCGGCTTTCCGAGACAGAGTTGCGGCGACGCGAAGAGCGCGGACGTTTCGATTCTGGAGCAGGTTCGTCGGTATCGCGACGTCCGACTCGCGGAACCGGATATCGACGACGANACCAAAAGTTGGATTTAAACGTCTTATTTTGTCGGAGAGAGAGAGAGAGAGAGAGAGAGAGAGAGAGAGAGAGCGGAACGCTGGCTGGTAACTCGCTTCGCGTTTCACCCGAAATTAAGTTTTTAATCCGGTCGTCGCGGAGTCTTCGAGACTACTCGCCCGCTTTTCGTCAAATTTTGTGGAAACGTCCCACGCTCCGCACCGCGCGTTCTTCGTTCGCGTTGTTTCTTTATTCGATGTTTCGAAATGCCAATCGCGATGCCGATGCAATGAAAAATTGCCAATCGTTTTGCCAATTTTTAATAATCGCGCGACACGATCGAGTCGAACGGTCGAAGGCGGAATCGAATTTTCTCGATTCGAAACTCGCGAACGTCGTCGAGGAAACGTTCGGGAGGGTCTGAGATTTATTTGGCGGATTTCCGATCGCAGATTTTCGGGAATTTCGTGATCGCGGGAAGGTTCGGCGACCGAGAAAAACGTCGAGCGGTTCGAGAGAAAGCGAACATCGAAGTCTCGGCGTCGTAATCGGAATCTACGCGAGCACGGTCGAGCACAATGCGAGCCGGAACAACGAGAACGGACAAAGAGGGAATCGATGGCTCGATTTACGAAGTACCTTGTTACCGGGAAAATTTATCGCAACGACGCAGCTGGAAATGAGAGTACGATTAAAACCGAGGTCCGTTTAATATCTACCGTTCGCCCGAATTATTCCGTAGCCGTGAATGGTTGCGCGTCGTTTCGCGCTACGCGCCCCGCAGTCGCGAACACGAATATCGCGACGAGAACCGAGCGCGTCGGAGCTTCGCTTCGAACGCGGTCTCTGTTCGTTTTTCGCGCGAGCGCTGCGTGGACAGAAGCCGGCTTTCGTTATCGTTTTCTTTAATTAACGCTTCGTCCGTCGGAATCGTACCGATAGCTTTTTAAACGACTCTGCCCCGCGTTTGGAAGACTCTCGACGGTTTTCTCCGCGTTACTCGGAACGTTACGAATTCGCGACACCGTGCGCGAATAATACGGCGATTCGATCGTCGTTCGATCGACGAAAACTCTCGACCGACTCGCCAAAGTCCGTCGAAACGCGCGAACAACGCGAACGTTACCCTCCCCTGTGGGAACATCTCTTTCCGATCGCGATCGGAAAGTAGACGCGAGACAGCTCCACTCGTCGCATCGCGCGAAACGAACGAAACACTCACCGATGGAAGTACACCAGGATGTCCGCTCGGTCGCTGTTCACTTCCTGGAAGGTGAGCCTCGAGTTCCGCGCCCAGAGGCCGAGGGCTTTGCTCAGTTCGAGACGGACGCCGCCGGTGTCGAGGCCGCTCGGTTGTTCGGTTCTCAGGCTGCGACAAAAAGAAGAAGGGGCCGGGCCGGCCGATCAGGAGCCCGTCGAAAATCGATCCGCCGCGGGAGGCGATCGGTTGCGGGGGTGCGACGCGCCGCCGACCGCGGTCGCGGCTCCGATCGACCACCGAAGCAGAGCCGCGGGAAAACGTTTCCGGCGAGCAGACGCTCCGACGGAAGACGATTCGATCGTCGGGTACCGCGGGTCTGGGACGACGAGGGCTGGATCGAGGAGCACTCGAAGGCGGGATGCCGCGAGAGGAGGTGGAGAGGTGGCGGCGAGAACGTCGAGGTCCTGGGAAATTGGGTAAATTATTCCCCCGACGGGGTGGAAAGTAATAAGAGAAACTTTGCGTCGGCCGGCGAACACAGGAAATTCCCTGGAATCGCTGGAATCGCTGGAATCGCTGGAATCGCGGAACCCGGCTTTCCGAGACAGAGTTGCGGCGACGCGAAGAGCGCGGACGTTTCGATTCTGGAGCAGGTTCGTCGGTATCGCGACGTCCGACTCGCGGAACCGGATATCGACGACGACGAATCGATTATCGAAGAAGAAGAGTACATCGACGTTTTCGAACGAATCTGATTTACCTCGACGCGCGAATTTATTCTTAACGCGGCAAACGGGGCGAGAGAGCGAAATATACCGGTGCCACGGTCCGCCTAAACGCGAAATTAGGTTCAAAGACGCGACGAACCCGGACGAATTTGTAGCGCGCGCGAGACCTTTCACCGTTTCCGCGAGCACGTTCGATCGAAGCGCGCGAACTTCCGAACGGCGATCGATTTTACGGAGTCGTCGAATGTTTACCGGCGTAGGCGCATCGATCGCGACGAGAAACGCGAAATAAAAAAAGCGTTGTTCCGCGACGCGTCCTCGGAAGTTCCGTCGCTGGAAACAGGATTTCCCCGGTGAATCTGTGCCAACGAACAAAGCAAACGCAAATACGGTTGACTCGTTTTATTCGAGACCGATTGGAACGGATATTTGCGAGAAGCGTGCGGCGCGGCGACGTCTCTCCGCGTATCGTGTAAAGCTTGCTAGTTGGAAATTACATTTTTTAACAGGTCGAGTGCACGCGCGACGCGCGTTCCCGCCTGTTTTTCGGCGTAATACGATTTACGGGGAAGCACGTTTTACGGGCAAGGTACAGGCATTCTCGTCCATGGCGTTCCGATAAAAAAGAAAACCAAACCCGATATCGAGCGGACAAATATTTTATGGCCTTGCACGCGTTTTCGGGAGAGTCACGGTTGCAACGTACCGTATCAGCGTTCGCGTTAGCCGGACCCTATTCGCGACGTAAAAAGCAATCGTTGTTTCCGCGTCCGCGCCGCGGAATGCACCGGTTTCCCTCGGATTTATCGTCGCAAGAAATTCGTCGAGTCTCCTTATTTAGATATATACGTTATTATTCGTATTCGATCGCGTATATTCGATGCGCGGAAAATTACGAACGCACCGAACGCGCGCGTACCTGCGCGAGTCGGCGGAGAACTGCGCGCACGGTATTTGAAAAATTGATCGGTCAACTCCGATGAAAATTTAGCGAGGACGCGATCGCGCGTGCCCCGTAATTGGCAATTAAAACGGGTCAAGATCGGTTCGTCGAAGTCCAATCGACGCTCGCGCGCGGCGGGATCTCGGCGGCGCGGCGTCTCGATCCAGAATACGAACGTCGTTACGGCGCATTCCGACGATTCGTTCGAGCCTCGGCATCGCCTTCCAACGGTCACCCTCCTCTCTTCGAAATCGAAAGAAAATTTGATTCTTCCGTCGTCGATATCGAACTCCGGCAACGAACGCGAATGGAAACGCGCGTCGACCGATCGTCGACGAGCGCCAACGGAGAACTTCGAAAGGTCGTTCGGTCCTTTTCGCGCTCCAGGACTATGCGGAAAGGTTGAAAAGCCGGAACCCCGCGGGCGATGCGGATACGCGCGCAGCTATGCGGCTTGCGCGCACGTGTGCAGATTCTACGGTCGAAAACCGAGGGAACGGAGACCGAGACGAAGTCGGAGACAACGGCGCGGCGCTTTCTTCGGGCGTAATTAAACGCGAATTCCGCGATGATCGAGTTTCGACGTCGCGATCACGGGGCTGGCCGAACCGCCGAAGCGGGAACGCTGCTCGCACGTGTACGTGTATCCGTATCGAAGCGAGAGACGAAGCGTTCTCTCGAGCGTCGTAGCGGCGCGAAAACCGTTTCGAGAGAACGAAAGACGGAATTGAAATCGCGACGCGGAATAAAACGACCGGACGTTCGCGAGCTCGCGCGAACCGAAAGGTGGCGAATAAACTAGAAAATGAAATAATACACCACCGCGCGATATATTAATTTTCTGCTCTCGGTTGCGCAGTTCCCGTCCTTCTCGCGTCGCGCCGCGGCTTTCACCCGCTACCGTGCTTTCGCTTCATTATAGAGACTACGTACCTTTGTAAATCTAAAGAAGGGATAGAAACGATGCGACGAGCAACCGAGTTATTATCCGCGAGACGGAACGAGCGAGCGCGCGCGCGCGGCCTGTTACGTTCGACCCTTGAATTTTAAACGCAACGCCAGCGCCGCGCGCGCGAAGATCGCATCGCCCTGCAGGAGAACATTTCAACGATTCGCGTGTGCAACGGATAATTATCGGATAACGAGTCTTTACAAATCGTTGAAAAGGTAAGAAAACGCGGTATCCGTTTTATTCGACTCGAATTTTCGAAAGACGCGGATACGAATTCCTGTATTACGCGGAAGAGTACTTTGGTCTCGAACGATTCGAACGTCGATTAACCGATTTCTAGTTCGGCGAATTAATTCCGAACGATACGGTTAAAAATTCTGCGACGCGGGCAATAACGCGGCATCGCCGAACGAGACGAAAGTTCCGATTCGATTTTTCGAACGAAGACGATTTCGCGGCGCGGCACGGCGTTCGCGGACGCGGTCGTCGTTCGTCGATGGAAATCGCGATCCGAGCGTCGCGATCGAGCTCGCCAACTCGCGATAATTACATTTTCTCGCGTCGCACTTATCGTTCGAATTTTCAATTCCGACGTTTCGCGCGGCGCGAGCGCATCGATCACGCGAGAATACCGGATTACGCGTATCGGAGGCACGCTAATTACCGCACCTGCACCCACGAATGCACGCCCGAACCGTTAATTATACCGATAATCGCTGCTCGTTTGTGGCCCGCATTATACGATGATAAACGTAACAACTTTAACGGCGCTGTGCAGCAAGATTCGCCAGGAGTTCCGTACGGTGAACGCGTCGCCACCATTTTTCACGCTATTCCTAGCGAAGAAACGGTGATCCTTTCCGTTGCGTTTCGTTACGTTGCGTTACGTTGCGTTACGTTACGTCACGCCATGGAAACTTTACGAAACGAAATATTTGCAACGACAAAATCCGAGCACTTCGATCATCGCAAATTACGGTCGGGCATAAATCGACTCCACGTACAATCGGATATTTGGTTTTCGCTTCTAAATCAACTTTACGTTACCCGACGAAACCAAACACGTATGCGCACGTATGCAGGCTGACGCGTAGAGACGCGAAGGATCTTCGGCGGGCGGAGCCGTTCGGACCCGCGGACGTCGCGTTTCGGAGTTATATTCGACGAGCATCGGCGACGTTGGCATTCGTTCGGGAAAAATTGGCGGAAGGTCGCATCGTTTCGTCGTTCGTCGACGCGGGCAGGCCTCTTAAGATCGCGAGAACGGTACTCGCGATCGGTCGAATAAAAATCCGTCTCCCCTCCTCCGGCGTCCCGTCCGTCGGCATTCACGCGTTCCCTCGATCACGAATCCAATCGTTCGAGTCACGGCTAAAAAGCTCTCGAAGCTTTGCTCCGGAACGCGTGCCGGTGTCCGTGTCCGTGCGATCGACAGATTATAGAGAGCCGTCCCGCGGCTGAGTGGCGTTCGACGAGCTTCGACAGTGGGAGAATCTCCCGGATCGAGTGAACCGGCCCGTGACAGCCACGGATTCGAGTACCGAACCCCGGCAATTCTGTTTTCGACAAAGCCTGCTCCCGACAAAGACCGTTCGTCGCGTCCGCCGATCTATTATACGTACACGATTTATGCAACACGCTCGGAACCCCCACGTTTTTTTCTCTTCTCTCTCTTCTCTTTTCTCTTTTCCCTTAACGGATCGCGGCCGGAACGGACGTCGAGAAATCTCGCCCATCTTCCGTAGTTTTATCGCTGAAAAATGAAAATTATCGGACCACGGATCTCCGTGGAAACTCGAGAGACTTTTTCGACTCGGTCGCGAAAACGTGAAAACGACGAGATAAACTCGCGTTCCCTCTATCGCCGTTTTTCTCGAATTCTTTCGGCATCTCGGCAGGTTTCGTCGCGAACGGACCGCGCGCGTCTCTTTCCACGAAATCGAAAGTTTCCGTGTCGGCGAGAGAAAAGCCGGAGTCGTTTCTCGTTCTCCAAGAATTTTTACGATACGATAAATCCGTACGGCCCCCGTCGGGGTACGTTCCAAGTTTCGTCGACGCGTTTCTCGAAACGGTTCGAAAGCGATGCTCGATTTACGATCGAGCTCGGACCCGGCGTACGTCGGACGATTAAAAGGAGGACGGTATTGGAACGTATCGGTCCGGAGTCGCGATAAACTGCGAGAACGGAAAGGGCGCGTCGTTCCGTACGCTTCGCTTTCGCGTCGTCGATTCGCGGAACAATACGATCGTAAACCCTTCCACCGTTGGGAGACGGTCGTAAACTCGACGCGGTAACGCGAAACCGCAACTATCGTTTTAATTAATTTTTACGCGAGCTTCTCTCTCCGGAGAATTTTCCTTTATCGTCGTTGACGACGAACGCGCGAAAACGCGTTGTTCCCTTCGCAGGTTTCGGTCAATTATGGTTTCAACGACGAAGAAGGGGGTTCTTTCCATGGCAACCGTCGAACGGAGACAACGAATCGCGTCGGTCGTTCTCATCCGGTCGAAAAGCGTACGAAATTCTTGCACGAACGAAAAGCAA